AGACGAGGAAGACATTTTAAGTTTGATCTTTTAATGATGATTAGGTATTGTTTATACGTAACGAAATATGTGTATGTATACACGACAACATATGTGTATATGAAGGGGGAGAGAGAGAGAGAGATTGGAGACAAAAAAGATGGAGGAGAAGAATGAAGGGCACAGTTGAAGAAGAACTAGATGGTTAAGAATACAGTGTCAATTATTTATGTGCTGTTTGGTTAATTAAATGAGAGAATATCCGTTGAGATTTAAGAGGGGGCGATGGCATGGGTTTATGTGGTTGGTTTTAGAAAGAGTGAATGTTGGCCTCTATTGATTTTCAAAAAAATTGTGTACTTTTAAGTTGTAACTTGTAACCCCATAAGCTTTGACATTGAGAGCTTGACGTGGCCTAGATATGCATAGATAATGATTTGATAGAATTCCAGAATAATTGATCTTATTGAATATTGAAAGATATTTCTCTATATATATAAACTACAGAAGAGAGCTCTAATCACAATAGAAAAAGAACTATGTTAACAAGATACTCCCTCTGTCCACCATAGATCTTTCCAGACACTATTCACAGGGTCAAACTTTACTCACTTTGTTTGCTCAATTTTACTAGTCACTTCATAAAATAATATAGTCTTGTCACTGATAGAATTTAGGGTGGGTATGGACAACTGGATTGGTAATAAAACACTTGAGTTGAACCACATTAAAAGATTGAATTCAATCTATTAGTTAGTTCAACTCAATGGCTTATATACCGGTTTATTTTCTCTTCAAGTTCCGATGTGGGACACTCTTTAACACTCCCCCTCAAGTGGACAATCAGGCCATTTTGAATCTAACCGGTTGACCACTTGCAAATGGACTCCCATCCCCTTGATTTTTTTTGAGCGCCAACACCTAAATGACCACGAGCCGCTAGGTATGGACTTCCAGACGAGCAATCGTGTTAAACGGGCCACAGGCCGTTGGGTATAACCTCCATACGGACAACTGGACTAAAGATTAACGGGCCGCTAAGAATGAACGTCTAGACGGACACCTTGACAAATGAGGTGAGCTAAAACTGGCTCTGATACCATGATAGAATTTTTGTGGATCCCGACTTTATGTGCAAGTGGTTAATTTTACTCGACACTCTATCCGTTGTTATCGGCCCGCCGGAATTTTAACATGGTATCAGAGCAGGTCCGGTCCGGGTTTGATTGTTCCTGGTTGTTTGGATGTGAGTTTAGCAAAAATGAGCTACCCATCTGTGGTTTGGGCTGAGTTGGCTAAAAAAGATTGAGATGTCACCGCGTGTGGGCCAGCTATAAGAGATTGAGATGCTAGACCCGCTTATCCAAGTGCTAACTAGGCCAGGCTAGTTACCACTTACGGGGGAATGTTGGAGTTCCCACATCGGAAAATAAAGATGAGTATCACTTGCATATATTAAAGGGTGAAGTCCTACCTATAAGCTTAAGCTTTTGGGTTAGAATTGTGGATCCCGACTTTATGTGCAAGTGGTTAATTTTACTCGACACTCTATCCATTGTTCTCGGCCCGCCAAAATTTTAACAGTCACCTCTAGTTTTGTACTACTTTTCATGTAGTTTATTACTATATAAATTTTATTTTAGAATTTTACTCCTATAATCAATTAAATTGAATTGAAAATAAAGTCGGTCAAACCTCGTAACGCGTAATGAGAAGATCATACATGGACGGATGGAGTAATAAGGAAACGACAAAGATGGAAGATAACTAATAAATATAATATCTATTTTCTATTACCCCTACAAGTTGATCAACAAAGACGAAAGGCAGCTTGGAACATAGATATTCAAACAATGTGGGCGAAAGCGGCTTCGTCAAGAGATATGTGAGTTGCTCAAAGGATGGAACATAATGAGTGGGCATCATGTCAGAACTAACATGCTTTATGCGATCATGCAAAACATGATTTTTTGTGACACAAATGGTAGATTCATTGTCACAGTAAATTGTTGGTTTTGACGGAGGAATGTCAAATGCAAATGTAATGTAGCAAAGCCACATGGCCTACGCTTCCCCACGGCCATGGCGCGATATTCGACTTTTGTGGAGGAATGAGAGACACGAGTCTGTTTTTTCTTACACCAAGAGATAAGATTCGGCCCAAGCATAATAAGGTAGCTAGTAGTAGAACAACAATCATATATCTTTGTTGTTAGCCCAGTCCGAATCAGAGTAATGGGGCCTTTCTGAAAAAGAAGAACACTGTGCAGGGTGCCTCTCAAGTAACGTAGAAGGTGTTTCAAGGCAAAGCAATCTTTATCAGTCGGAGAATGTGTTGTTTGAGATACATGTTGCACAACATACTGAATGTCTGGACGAGTGAAAGCGAGAAAGTGTAGTCCACCAACGATGCTACGAAAAATTTTAGGATTTGAGAAGAGACGGCTTGGGAGAGGACCGTGCAGCCATGGGCGTGGCTGGCTTGCAATCAGACATATCACCCATGTTAAGAAGCTCAAGAGTGTACTTTGTCTGAAGAAGTAAAATAGTATCCTGTGTGCGCTGTATTTCAATGTCAAGGAAGAAATTTAGGAGGGCCTAAGTCCTTCGGTCAAAAATCACGATGCATAGCTTATGTAACCGTATAGTGTGCAACCTATCTCGAAGAGCGGTGGACATAGAATTATATTGTGCTGCTAAAACATCTCAGAGAGCAGCAGAGGTATTGAAACCCTAAGCATGTTTGTGAACAATTGAACTAATATATAATTGCAATGAGACACACAGATCTGGGTGTGGACAATAGAACATGAGGTTAACTCACGGTTGGGAAGGTTTTGCCATCTTTGGAGATTGTTTTTTTGCGGTGCTTTTTCAGGCCCGTTTTGGCATCAGCGTTAGGAATTAGCGTTAGTATTTTGAATAAACTATGTAACAGTAGCTTTTAGCATTAGCTTTTTTAGAATTAATTTACACTATTAAAATTTAATCCAAAACGGTAACGTTAATTTGATTATATGAATTTTAATATTGTTCTTTTGTACTCATATTATGAAAATACATTTGATAAAATATTAATATATATTTTAATACTAATGTTTATCATTTTCATTAACAAGTTGTACGTGATTGCCTCGTCATTTGATCAACGGACTGAATTGTTTGATTCTCACAACTTTCTTCATGTTCTACAACTTATTTGAAAAAAAACCATTTTTTTATTTTTAAAATATATGACGAACAAAAACTCATTTTGTAATAAAATTCTTCCCGATACCTTCAAGGGAGAAAATCAAAGTAAGACTAAAACATTGAAAATATATCAAAATAATACTTTTATGTTTTTATTTCCAAAATAGGACTTAAAATGTATTTACATTACTAAACATAGTCATGTACATTACCAAAAAGTATAGTCATGTAACATGTACAGTATCACATTACCACAGTGTGAAGTCTTATTTTATGAAAAAACATGAAAATCTTATTTTGATGCTTTTCACTATGTTTTAGTCCTATTTAGAGTGATTTCTATACCTTCACTCCTTTAAAATTAAATACAAATTTAAAATTTTTTGCAATAAAAACATGAATAGTCGATACACTTGAAAAAAAAACTCGCTTTAATTTTTTCTTGCAAAAGAAAATTTTTGAATAAATTCAAGAAAACTTTCAAAATACAAATCATTTTTTTAATTTATTTTTTTGAGGGGAAACACTTAGTAATCATTACATGATCAAAAATTCCCCAATTAACTCTGTTGTTCCAAGAAAAAATCTATTGACAAGGCATAAAAAGAAAAAATGAATCTAAAAAGTAGTACATGTGGAAAATCTTGCTCAATCCATATATTGCTCATTCAAAAAATTTCAAGGAATAAGATGCAAAAATACATAGTTGGAGATGAAAGAGGAGCTAGTAAGAATGAGACCACCAAGAAAGAATAGAGAAGACTGAAGAGCATGGACGAAAGGAGTATTTTTAAGTTTTAACATTATCCATTAGAGGCCCAAAATGGGGACAATAAAAACTACTCCTTCCGTCTATTTTGGTATTGAGTTTTCAGAAGCCTCTCTCGATATGATGAATAAAAATTAGGTTTGATAGATAAATTAATGGTGTATGGATGTAATATGATCGATAAGTTAAAAATTAGTAGTGGTTAAAGTGATTTTTTAATATAAATGAATTTTTTTTGAACAAATGAAAAAGAAAAAAAAGTGATCCAGGACGGAGGGAATATTTCTTTTTCTTATGTTTTAGACTTCACTAATATTTACATGACGGGTTGGATTTGCTCTTACCGGTGTTTGGTGAGTCAATACGATATGAGTTTTGATATCTCGAGATATTAAAATTCATTTTGGGTGTTTGGTGAAGTAAAAAAGGATATCGAATTCGATATCTTTAAATATTATTCCCTCCGTCCCAAAAAGATTTACACCTTTCAAAAAAATTGTGTCCCACAATCTCCTACCCATTTCTATTAAAAAACCACTTTTACCCCTTACTTTTTCAAACCTACCTATCACATCATACTTTTTTCCTAATAATCTACACATCATATCTTACTTTTACCAATCACATCAAGGGTATTTTTGGAAAGTCAACACAAAATTATTCCCCCCTTAATTTCTACTTTAGTCAAAATGGGTAACACTTTATGGAACGGAGGGAGTATAAATCTTTCAAATGTAGGGTTTCGATATCTCCCGAATTTGAGAGATATCAGTATGATGATTTGATATCTCTCTCTAACATTGATCGTTTTCTATCACTGACCGTTACTGCCAACCATCCCCGTTGCCGGTTATCCTCGTTAATCTTAAATTAATTCATGATTTTAAATCCTTCCAAACAATTTATTTCAGATTTTAAAATTCATATCATATAATTTATAATTTACGTATATCTTAATATCTTATCTTATCTTGAAAACGAAACGGGCCCTTTTTTTCTCATCCAAAGAATGCATAAACAATGATAAACATATTGAATACCAGCACTTTCTCTAGTTCCCAAACCGACCTTTCATTTCTTTTCGCTGGATATGGCTTGAAACGTTTGTAATAACGGATAAAAATCACACAGCAGTTGCTAAAAAAGCACATGAAAAGAAACAACCTTTTCCGGCGCCGGTGAAACCAATGGCCGCCGGGACGAGCAACATTCTCGCATGCGCCTTCACTCCGCCGCCTACACTCAGACCCACTTCTGCCAGGAACTCAACCCGAATCTCAATCTTTCACCCTCTGAAATTCCATACCCTCGCTTGCCCCGCCGTAGCCACCAAAGTCTCAACGATTCCCGGAGATCGATTCCCCCAAATACGTCGGCGTTCCCTCAATACACCGAGTTCGCAGGATTCTGCCCTGGAAGAGGACGAGCTGGGAGGAGTAGACGGCGGCGGGAATGGAGGGGGCGACGGAGACGGATGGGCCTGGACGACGTCGTTTCTGCTTTTCGGGGTTTGGGCCGGTCTCATGTACTATGTGTTCTTCCTCTCCCCTAATCAAACCCCGGTACTCCATAATTACATCATATTTCTCCCTTTATCGTTTACTGTGGAAATTGGAAATGGAGATGAAGAGGGGACTGGAAATTGTCATCTGTGACTATAAAATAGACTCTGTTTTTCTTTTCTATATTGTGATTTCCTGAATTGAATTGAACTGAACCTAATCGAAACTAGTTGTAATTTTAAAAGAAATCAACCCAAGAATGAACAAAACATAGTCTTTATCCTCAAAACAGTAGTCACACGTTTTAATCTCAAAATAGGATTATTTCAATGGGATAATGTCGCAGTGTATATTGACATTCCATAATATTTTTTGATATTATATGTTGAAATTAATGACATTACAAGTCATATCTAGGAGATAAAAACATGAACATTCTATTTTGGTTATTTCCATAGGTTGTATTCTTGATCAATTCTTAAACATAAAATATAAATCAGGAATTAAATCATGTGTACCTGATAATCCTGTAAATGTAGTTAGAGATGAGACCATGATTCTCACGCAAATCGAGTTCCCGTTTAGAGTGTATCGTTATGATGACTAAGGTGAGGATGAGACTCACGAGAATAGAGACAGAGAGGAGACGTAAGATTGATGTGTTGTGATCTCTGCCTAATGACCTCTATATATATACCCAAGGAGAAACCCTAATTAGGTCGTAAGGATAATTACGTCCATCGAATAATTACCAATTGAATACGTAGAGTATTTATTAGGTCAATGATCAATTAATTAGATAAATGATAACTCAGGTCACATAATAAAATCGTGTCCTACATGTACTATTTTTTTGTCTTTCTCCCTATTTTTAACAGAGATGTGCTAAATTGAGATGGATAGTAAATGGGAAATGCTAGAGTCAAATGCACAAAGGTCATAAAATATGCAACCTTACTATTTGTGCACTTCACCAATAGAAAAAGATGATTTATAATAAAAAAATAGAAATTTAAATACACAAATGACAAGTTTTTGTATTTTGTGGTCCTTCTATTTGTGACTTCAGCATTTCTCGTAGAAAGTAAGTTGAAAACAACGTTCATATTTGGGATGGTCGGATACTTTTGTTTTAATAGTTCTCTTATTCTGAATTGCAAATCATGGTTTGACAGGTTAGTTTGTGTTGTGATGAACTCTGGTTTTACATGTATATAAAGGCTTCATCTGGTTTTGATTTTACTCTTTTTTTTTTCTGCCAATTCTAGTTTTCAGAATCCGCTGTTTATGATATAGCTGATTTACTTATGAAAAAAAAGGTTCTAGATAGCGAAATCAACAACTGGTATTTTCAGAATCTTAAACAAATGCAACACACAACTCTTTATGGATGATAATATGCAAACATAGTATTTTAGAAGCTAAGCTAAATGCCTTCATAGTTTATGTACTCTGTATGATCTTTGCTTCCCTGCCCACAACCTTTCGATCCTAAAAATTAGCGAATTTTAAATATGTTTATACTTGGTTTATTTATTTACCTATGTCTATTGCATCCAGATTTATACCGAGTAAATCTTAATACGGAGTATATGTTATGAAAATTTTACCATATTTCATTTTCCTATGAATTTTAAGGTAAAGTCAAGCAAAAAGAAATAACTTTCCTTAACATTGTATTTTCCCTTTCCTTATTGTTTATGGGAACAATGGGCATAAGGGAGATGGGACATAAACTGTTGCAATTTTCCTTCCTTCTAGGGTTTATCAATTCTTATTGATAGAAATTAGGATGGGATTTGGATCACTAAATTGGGTAATAAGACACTTGTGCTGAACCACATTAAAAGATTGAATCCAATCGATTATTTAGTTCAACTCAAGAGCTTATATACCGATTTATTTTCACTACAAGTTCCGGTGTGGGATAGACTCCAACACTTATGTTATCAATTTTAGTGCATTATGTTTGTGTAATGCTTGCAAGTTTCAGTCTACAGATTTGTATTTCCTGAAAAAGCTCCTCAATTTGAAAGGAAACGATGGATTCCGAATGAATGAAGTTCTTGTGTCCCTCTGGTACCTAATGGGCTTATGGCCATTAGTTTACAGTATGCTCCTGCTTCCTACCGCTAGAACGTAAGCTTCACCACGTCCCATCATTGCTCTACTTCTTGTCTCACTGTAGATGGTTTTTGTTTCAAAGCCACACTGCATGAAAGGGTCTGTTTGGAATCTGGAAAATGATAGTGAAAGAATATGGGGAGAAAAATAAGGACAATATATTCAAAGTCAATGCTCGTACGTTTAATATCTGCTTAAATTATTTTATTTTCTATTTCTATTACTGGGTATATAAATCTACACACACAAACACACATTTTTGAGAGGTCAATCATGTTTTTAATGTAAAGCCAAATGTCCCAAACATTTCTGGAAAAAATCAAATCATTTTTTTTAAAGGTTTTTTTTCTGCATTTTGTTAAATCCCCCCCCCCCCTATGCCCTAACGGCCAAACATTTTCCATATAAAGAAAGCAACTTTCTTTAGTATTTTGTTAAGACAATCACTCCCCCGAAGTCCCAAACACTGGGATCACCAAAGAGCAACTCTTCCCAAAAGCTAACTCAAAAGGAGTTGGTATTAGTGATTTTCTCTCTATGATCCTAACACGAATATTGGGCAGGGTTTTAGGCATCCTTGACCAGCTTGGTGTGATCTCATAGTTCCCAAGTTTTTCAGGATCCAAACATAATCAAATTATTGCCTTATAATTTGTCTAAAACTTGCTCTTACTGTGTTCGTGCTACTGTGTTTACGTTCTTTATTTTGTTTGTGCTTCTGTGTTTGAGTCGAGAGTCTCTTCGAAACAACCTCTCTACTTCTGAGTAGGGGTAAGGACTGTATTCACACACCCTCCCCATGCCTTACTTTTGGGAATTTATTTGGTTTGTTGTATAGATTCTCTAAGTTTCTTGCTCTCACAGAAATAGTTAATATCAGAATTCTTTTCCCAAAGGCAAAGAAACAGGATTCCTGTCTGGCCCTTTCTCATCCTTTCGTTCTTTGGCGGAGTGTATGCTCTCCTTCCTTTCTTTATTCTATGGAAGCCCCCACCTCCACCCGTTGAAGAAACAGAGCTCAGAAGATGGCCTCTGAATTTCCTCGAATCAAAATTAACTTCTGGGGTAATGTGGATTTCTCATTCTTAAATTCACAAACTATTTTTTTGAATGCAACATAATTATTTATGTTTTTGTTTGTCATGCATTCATCATAACTATGGCAATTAAGGCTCTATTGGCTTCAGGGCTAGGATTAATAGTTTATGCAGGCATTTCTAATGGGGATGTCTGGAAGGAATTCTACCAGTACTTTAGACAGAGCAGATTTGTAAGTTCTGATGCTTTTAGCTTAATCTCAAGCTTAGAAGAATAACTCACTTCAAATACTTCTTTATCCCCTTTTTTGTGTGTGTAAATTTATCCTTAACATCATTAGTGGCTGAGCTTGCTTGTCTTGTCCCACAGATCCATGTAATGTCGATTGATTTCATTTTACTGTCAGCATTTGCACCATTTTGGGTTTTCAATGACATGACAACTCGAAAATGGTATGTTCTTTGTTAGGACACTATCCTCTTTGCCTCTCCTTGCATTTCTGCCACCCACATAGTAGAAAATGATGAACCCCATGCCTAGGGTCCCCTAGGACTGGCTGGACATTTACCTATGAGGAGATAACCATTTCAACCAAATGGCTTTTCCAAATGGGCTTCTAATGAGAATTGCATGTCTAACAATCGTAGGTACGACAAGGGCTCCTGGCTTCTTCCTCTATCAGCCATTCCATTATTGGGTCCCGCATTATACCTTCTCTTGCGCCCGCCCCTGCTAACGGCAAAGGTCTTATCAAGCTCAAGTCGCGAGACCAAGTAAGCACCACAAAACAAACTTTTTGTTATCATATGAAGTATGAACTGCTGTGGCACAAATTCTTCCCATGAAAAGTAATACTACCTTTTAGTTGGTTTTATTGTATGTGTCCCTATATTATGCTCTATACATGCTCATTTACGGGTACAAGTTAAAGAATACTCATTTCGCACAGTTATTTCTTTGCATATACTTAGATCATGCACACATTTTCTGCCTACATTATGCTCGTTTTGCTACTAAGTACGCTTTCAATCAATGAAAGAAAAAAACGAAGTGTTCTTAAGCTTGTTTGAATAACTTAATTTTATGAGTAATCGATAGTCTAGTTCTACAAAAAAAAAAGAAGAAGTCCCAATGTTACAAATAACACATCTCATATGTCAATGGTAATATCATGCTTATAATATGATCGACACGGTTAGATAACAATTTCTGAGCTTCTCCTTCGTTCAAAAGCAATTTTGTGTGTTTGGCAAATCTTATTGTCTTATGGCGTATGATATCAGAGTGCAAAATGGATTCCAAAAGTTTTTCTTGGCAAAGTTATGATTAAATGCTTTAAGCTTCTGCATCATGACTTGTGATTTCTGCTTCTTCCCCAATGCTTCAAATAAATTTTGTACTCCCATTTATTTTCAAATATTTTTTATTGAGTAATATTCTCCCATTGTCAACTATCCCTTGCATGTTAACTTATGATATACTCTTTGCCGCCCAAGAAACTTTTTGCACTTTTTTTGGAAAGCTTCTTAGTATAATGTTTTGTGAAAGTAAAATTGTTTGATGTTTTTTCATACAAAGGATGTATTTTTTACATGGTATTATTCTTGAATTATACTGTGTCTACACAAATAATATGAATCAATACCTCATACCTCCAACAAGCTAAGCAGTGTCTGAAAAGTTCTTGTCTGAGAGCATAGTTTAGCTGATCGAGATGATAGTGTCACGTGAGATTAATTTGAACAACGGCAAAAAAATTCATATTGAGAGCGAGATATTTTTTGGTGTCTGTTAGATTTCTACTCCCTCTGTCTAATAATTATCAAGAAAACCTTCTAAATAGGAGTAAAACATGGATCATATCCTCAAAATAGGAGTTCAAACTTAAACTCCCGTAAATAGGAGTAATTTTGATTAGCCCTGACCGCACAAACAACTTTCCTTGCGAGCAAGAATCCATGGCGATAAAAAATCCATTCAATGTCACCTCTCCTTGCGATCAAGAATCCATGGCGATCAACAACTAAATTTGGTACTAATTCTTTCAGCCACATGGATAATTTTGAATTCAATTTTATGTTCAATTTGAAATAAGAGGTGACATTCCTTTTTAATTGTGAATTTACTTCTTAAGAATTTTTTTTTGTAAAATTCATATTGAAAATGAATTATTATGGTGTTGGCAAATAGTAGAATTTCTTGACATTTACTCCTTTTTGACATTATGCATTGACATATCTTTCATTATACATTGTCATTAATGACATTATACAATGTCACGGTTGTCATTATCTATTTAATTTGTTTAACATTATGCATTCGCATGTATGACTTTATACATTGGCATGATTGTCATTATATGACTACAGATGGCATTTAGTGTGATCTTTTTTGACACTGTATGGACATTTTAATGTACAAATTTACATTAACATTGTATTGAAATTGTGCGTGTGTGTGTGTATATATATATACATATATATATGTGTGTGTGTGTGTGTGTGTGTGTGTGTGAGAGAGCCAAAACCCAATGGAGAGCTAAATGGTATGATTTGAGTTTTTGGTTCGCACACTGCATTACCATTAACATAGATAAACGAGGCATCAAATCATGAGTCGAAAGCCAGTGGAGAGCTAAACGGTATGTTGGATCCCTGAAAATGCTGGAAGTTTTTTTAATCTAGAGGAAGCTAATTTTTTATGTTTGGTTTATTTCAACTCACGTCACATTTAGGGGCAAAATCTTCGTTCAAGTCAAGCTCATTACTCCTATGTAGGGGAATTTAAGTTTCAACTCCTATTTTAGAATATGACATCTCTTTTACTCCTATTTTGGTCCATCTCCCATAATTATTTTCTCGTTCACTAATTACATGGTCAAACTTTTTTTATTTTGTTGGCTTATTTTCGTTGCTTATTTGATAAAATAATATAGTCTTGTTATCTCTATTTTGTAAATCTTTTAATTTTTATATAAATTGACTTGAAAATAATTTTAGTTAAATGTTAGCGCAATGAGAAGATAATTTTTGGACGGAAGGAGTATTTATACTCCGGAGTAATAATTAATTAATCGCCCGCATAAATTTGTGGAGGCATAAAAGTATAAAATTCTTTGGCTATGGTCAACTCTAGGAAACTCCTAAGATGCTTAATTTGCGTCTCATATTCAACACACGTGGCATTTTCTAATAGAACAAATGGATATTACTTTTATTTTATTTTTAAATAATCTTTAGTAGTACTCACTCTGTAGGATTTAATATTCTCATTTTGATTTTCATTTTTAGAGAAGGTTGCTTGTAGGGTATATTTTTTCCAAAATACACTAACTTAAGAAGTGAAAGTGTGTGGGTTGTTGGAAAGTTTAATGAAGGAGAAGATATTTTTGTCCAAATAAATATGTATTGGAAAATAACCAGAAAATTTGACATCATTTTTATTACAGACACTCATAGATACAAAATAATAAAGAGTGTCTCTAAATGTTTGAAAAAAAAAATGTCAAACACTCAAAGTCTTGGTAAAAAATACTCTCTCTATCTCAAAATTGTCGTCATAGTTTGATTTTTGTAGTCCTTTTTTTACCACAAATTAAATATTTCGAAGTATAATTCAATAAATAATGTCATTAAAATCTGACAAATCAATAATATAACCTCAATTAATCTAAATTATAACTAAATACATAATACGGTCTCTCGAAAATAATACTCTCTCCATCCCAATTTATATGCCATGTTTCGTTTTACGATTTATGATTGAAATTATTTTCAAATCATTTACTGTATGTGACAAATAGTGTTACATATTAAAATATTACATCAAAAGATCTACAAAACTAGTATTGATAAAAATATTTTATTTTATCAAATTGTTAGCAAAAAAAAAGAAAATGAATAAAATTTAACCTTATAGATAATGAACATGTAATTTAATTTGAAAGGGAGGGAGTACGAACTACAAAGTATCTTTTTTTTTTCTTTTCATATTATGTTGTGAAAATGACTCGCTAGGACTCAAATATAAAATGCGGGAGAGGACTTCCTCATATTCTTCTGTTAAACTCTCCTAAACACTGCCTGAAAATTCTGTCCAAAACAAAAACAAAACTAAAAGTCCTAAGAAACGTAACTCCCAAATCTCAAAACGATTATCATAATCTGAAAATCTTCATCAATTTTCAGCCCTACCAATTCAGGTAATTTCAATACCTTCTTCATCCCCCCTCTCTATGTCTCTCTTTTCTCTCCTTCTTCCTTTCAATCATTACCCATAATTACATTCTTTGATTTCCTCGTTTCGTTTCTAATTATTGTTTTGTTTTGTTTTCTTCCCTCCAATTTATATATGTTTCACATTTGTAGTTTCTGGCAAATCATTGAAATCACATTCTTGGGTTTTCTCAGAATCGCATTTTTAGGGCCATGGAATTTATTAGGAGGCAATTCAAAGATCAAAATCATTGATAATTTCCGGTTTATGATCGGAAAAAATGCACACAAAAAAAAGACTTTTGATCATTTTATCGACTAGATTCTCTCCCGAAAATGTTTTTGGGGTCATTCTGTTATTATTGAAATGCGCAGGGGATCTTTTTTGTATATAAAGAAATGCTTCCAAAATCCAATGTGCCAATTCATGTAGATAGTGGAGTGTTTGGCAATGAGCACAATGAAGAATAACCCTTTTTTATTCTTACCAATCTTTTATGTTTTGACTTTTTTGTCAAACAGTGACACTCTTCGATCACAAATTGTGAGAAATATGTATTTTATCATTATATAAATTTAATATAATTGCCTTCATTACTAGTAGTTTTGATGCATCAACGTTTTATATAATTTATTTATTTAGATTATGCTTAATTTGTGGTGTATGAGTGTCACTATTTGAGTAAAAAAAATTAAAACACGAAAGTTTTTTAGACCGTAAAAGAATAATAGATAAAATGAGCTGTTTGAGTTTATAGTTTAGACAGATTACTAGAGTATATTACAAATGTTGGAAGAAACAAAATTTGCAAACAACTCTTGGTTTGAAAAGAAGGATAAAATTAGTTGTTGGTTGTAATTCTTCATTGATTGCCCAAAAGAAGAATCAAACCCCAAATGAGCCCATTAGTTTTGTTTTTGACAAGGTTGTGTTTGGCATGTTTTCCACATCTCAGAGGATGTCTGAACAGCAGACAGTGGACTATGAACACAGCAGCAATGATGAGAAAAGGAAGCTGCTTGTCTCCCAGATATGCATGGAGGCGGTGAAGAACTTCCCACCCACCGCAGCCTCCATGCCCTCCTCCCCCACCGGCCACCGGAAAACCTGCCTCTGCTCCCCCACCACCCACCCCGGCTCTTTCCGGTGCCGCTACCACCGCAACTCCAAGCTCACCCGCGCCTCCATGTCCGTCGCCTCCAATCTCTCCGAACTGGGCAGCGCCTCTGTTGCCAGCAAGCTCTCTGAGCTCGCTGCGCGCAAGTAAGATGATGGATGATGATCTTCATCTTCTTCATCTGTTTAAATGCTGCTGTACATTTCAAGAACTGTTTTTTTCTTTCACCCTTTTTGTTAATGAATGATGCTATATATATATATACACACACACAAACAAAGTTTGTCCCTTTTCCCCTTCTTTTTGAAATTTAAGTTCATTTCTGTAATAATATCATATGATGCACAGTTGAAACATGAAATGAAGAATTGATGGATACACATATACTCATATCTTCAACCTTTTCTTGCTCATAACACTTTGTTACAACAATAAGAAGAGTGTCTGTGTATGTACATAAGCAATGTCATATCGGTCACGCGTGACCCGTCGCTCAGAAAGGACGCAACCATTGCATATGAGAGTTACGATGACACAACTACGCGAATGTCTATAATAAAACTAGGGCAATTCCAACATTTTGGAGTCACCCATAACCCCAAGCTTTGCACATACACGCAAACATAGTCACACACTATATGTGACACCAGGGTTGACACTGGTGTTTCACGGGGAGAGAATCATGCGATTCCTGCAAAGAGGGCAAGTGAAGTTCCAGTACTGGAACCACTTCTCGACGCACGCCGTGTGGAAGACGTGGTCACAGGGGAGGCGGTTAATCACGGCGTCGGGTGAAAATTCTGTCAGGCAAACGGAACATTCTTGTTGGTGATGGTGTGGCTTGCCGGTGGCGGCACACATGGCATCGTACCGGATCGCCGGAGTTTGGTGGCGGAGCTCCTCCATGTAGGACTCCGACGGGGTTCCGCGCACGTCGGATAGCGCTGACGTGGCGGCAGAATACTCTTCTTCGCCGAATGAGGGGACTCGGATGCCTATGGCTTTGAGGATTGACCGGACTACGTCCTTGACCATGGAGATGGATATGGCGGTGTTGACCAGAATCACGCACAGAACTCCGGCATCAGCCGGGGAAGAATATGGAGATAGACCCATTTACACACCTGCAACCTCCCAACAAACAAACCTCTGTAACTCAGCAATATAGGGAAAAAATTTCGAGGCTATGAAGGTCTCAAATTCTCACAATTCTACACTGGAAATGGGATTTGGGAGAATAACCAACAGAGCACAAATGAAAGTTTGAAAGATCAAATCTTCAAACAAAGAAAGATTTGTTTTTTTTTTGTACTAGTTTGGAGATCCCTAGCAAAATGAGCAGTGATTCAAGAAAATATTGGGGATCACAACCCTAGATCCACCAATTGAGACATAAGAAGCAATTCTAACAGGTATTCATAGAATCCCATTCTTGTATTTAAAAAGAAACTCATTTTCTTGAGAGTAATTGATAAATTGCATAAATCTTTAATATAAAAAACACATCTTTTATTCAAGACAAATATGAAAAAGAAATGATTTTTAAAAAGGGGGGCTGGAAAACGGAGATCCAAATACAGATTATTACACAAACTTTCCATGTGAAGCTCAGCATAAACAAAATTGGGTCTTCACTTTTTTCTGTACTTTTCTTACTCACAACACAGATGCAAATGAAAGCTTTTTTGTGAACCACAATTTTTTTTTTAAAAATAAAATAAAAAGAAAGGCACAGTGGAAGCAAGTGGTGGGTATGTAGCACTTACAAAGAGTTGGAGCTGCAGAATCGTTTCTCTTGAGCAAGATTCAAGAACTGTTTCTATTTCTGGGAAGAAGAAGAAGATGATGATGAAGATGAGGTTGAGCGGTTGGAGATTGAGAGGAATCCCAAAAGTAAAGAGACTAGAAAGAGAGAGTGGGGTCTAATATAAATTTTAAAGTACTGATATATTGATTTTAAATAGAAGATGATGCCAAGATTTCCATGACCTCCAAGAGATCGATCACCCCTCATTTCTTCTTATTTTCATAGAAAAATCTATATCATTATCTTGTGGCTCACACGGTTTTAGATAATTGCTCCCAAATTTAATATCCCCTAAAATAAATTTTTTTTTGATCAACGTGTAAAATTTTATAACTTTAAAAAGATTTTATTTACAAGTTATTATAAAAATAAAAAATAAAAATATTTATTTTAAAATGACATAAAAAAATTTACAAAATAAGATGTGTCCCAAATGTAATAGTGGCTTCGTCCCTGAAAGAATTATCCTCTTTCTACAACGTATAAAATTTTATGATTTTTAATACGGAGTAAGATTTTATTTGCATATTAGTGTAGAAATAAAAAATAAAAATTATATATTTTAAAACTATATAAAAAATTTTGTGACAAAAATATTTTATTTCACTAAATGCTCAATAAAAACATGTCAACAAACAAAAGTTATTGAGATGTTATAATAATACTTCTAGAATTTCTATATATATATATATATATATAGATTTTGGTTCAGGTGAGAATGCGATCTTATGAAAGAAATAAGAATGAATCTAGTGCTTTAGATTGTGAGATCTAAGGGTTAGGATTGCATCAAAATTAGGTGCACCAAAATGGTTTGAAAATGCATCATGTAGAAATGCACCATAATCCCTTGAAAATGCATAACCTCAAAATCTGAGTGCAGGATGCAATCTGAGCCGCACGATGCATCAAATCTAAAGGCTAGATTTTATTCTTATTTCTTTCACCAAGATGCATTCTCACTTGAACCGCCCCCTATATATATATATATATATATATATATATATATATATATATATATATATATATATATATATATATATATATATATATATATATATATATATATATATATTTATATTTACGTACGTGCTCCCTCATTTTTTTAAAAAGAAAGTTTGTAAAAAATTTGGTGCTGAGGGCTTAAAAATTTGTGTACAAATATATTTTATTCAATAGTACAATAAAAAATTAATGAGACACTCTTGGTCACCCCCACAAATTTTGTCTCTATCCCTACACCCTAGCTGCATGTTCCATGTCGTGTTCATCATAAATCTTTTTATTTTTCTTTTCTCTTTTTACGAAATTCTGGTATTATAATAAAAAAAAACTATACTTACCACTTTGAGAATTTTTTTTATTGTTAATAAATAAATTACTAATCTTCTACTAAAAATGTCTCTTAAAAATGAAATATTCACCCGTCAAAACTAGTAAATTTTAATCCCAAACTATGATCAATTTTAATTTCCACTGCTCTTAGAAATACATATGATCAATCGTTCAAAAAATATGGGTCCAACATGTATTCTTTGGTGAGAATTAGATTCAATCCACCCTCTATTATACTCTCTCCATCTGATATCCAATATAAACTTTGATCATTGGTATAGCTATTTATACATAGATATATTTTATAAAAAAAATTAATATTTCAAAACTACTTTTCAAAAGGAAACTATTAATATTACATTTACATCAAAACAACAATGTATTCTTTCCACAAATCGAGATCAAAGTTTAGGCACTTTGACAAAAAAATCAAATAAGAATAAATTCAGACAGGTGAAGTATATACATTGATGTCATATGGGCCGAACTCAATTCCATTGCTTCTATTACTGGGCAAGGAGCTTGGACTCCTTGCACCCTTGCAGACGAGGTTGAGCCCGAATCTGTGGTGGCACGATCAAGCTTGGACCAAGACCTCTGATCCAAGCCCATAAAAAAATGACTCGGGTATCAAGCCCAATATATCCATCACTCTGTATTTGTCATCATTGACATTCATGATTACTTCTGTTTTTTCAAACAGATCAATTTTCATGTTCTAGGCATCTCATAAAATATTTCTACGACACATAAAATGTCCCAAATACACCTCATTCCTTCTTTATTGCGGGTAAAAATGCTTTTCGATGTCTTTCAGGCATTTTAAGAATGGTAGAAGTTTTTTGTAAGATGTGAAAAAAATGAAGGTGGAACTATTTTAAAAAACGAAGTAATACTCCGTATATATTTTGAATTACTCCGTATATAAAAAGCATACCATGTACTATATTTTTTGGGAAGTAATTGTTTTACTAATATCAATGTTTTTATAATATCATTATCCACCAGATCAAACTTTACGGCTTTTTATCAAAGGGCTAGGCACAGACATACCCCGTAAATATAATTTCATCATGACACTTAATTTGAAATATTAATTTGTCTAAAACAATCTAAAACGCCTTATATTAGGGGGGCAGAGAGAGTATTTGTTGTATTTTTCTATCATATGCACAGATCTAACCACACAAATTCTTTAAAAACAACTTCCTAAAAACAAGCCATATGATCATTTAAGACATAGTTATTCTCTTGCACAAGACATTCTTTTCAAAGACAACCCTTGATTTTGGTCAAGCCCATGTCGCGGAATCAGGTTTCCTCGTGACAGACACATGCTGCATTCATTCTGTTGAGGCTCTTTCGGAAAACCACTCTATCTTTTATAGGTAGGCGGCGTAAGGTCTGTGTCCAGTCATTCCCTCTCCAGACCCTACTTGTAAGACTAGGTTTATGTTAATTCATTCCTAGGGCTCTGCAATTTAGACTACTTGTTACCTAGCATACAAATAACAAGAGACTAACCTTGTATGGATTTAGAACCCCGGATTGATCCTTGTGATCATGCAACAAACTTCAAGCAACGTGTGTCCTTGTGTATAGTCTGGCATCGGATTGAACAAAAGCGCATCCCACACTGCACGCAAGCATAGGGAGCAGAGAATCCACAAACAGTGCAGAAGTGACGGCGGGTGGTGGAGCTTGGAGGTCCCACAGCAGCTCTCAAGTAGGTCGGGACATGTGGAGGCAAGGACTCCAGGTTTGCCTATCCCAATGAATTATACCCGCTTAACGTTTATGATCAAAAATAGATCTCTGCAGTTATTTTAAGGACCTCATGGCCTTAAAACACACCTTACCTCATTCAAGAGCTCCATGAATGTCTTTGGAGCCTTCTTATTCTCAAGAGCCTTGGCTTGACGAGTTTTCCTTTTTGTGCCTTTCGGCTGCTTCTTTTGATATACTGCAAAAAAATTACAGGGTACAGATCATTATATTTCAAGACTAAGATAATCCCACTCATCATCACTCACAATCCTTTTTTCTTCTTACATTAAAGATGACTTTCTCTATACTTCAAATTCCTAACACTATCTTTCGTTCAAGGAATTGGGAAGGAAAAGAAAATAAAATGATTTTCGCTGATTTTTCTTTCCCAAAATGGAAGGAATTTTGTTTTGCTTCCTCTTAGTACATTTTGCCTTGCACTTTTCTTTTCATTTCCACTCTAACCAAGCAAGAAAAATTATGTTCCATCTCATTTTCTTTTCTTTTATCTTCCAAATTCCTTGAACCAAATATAGTGTAATTGCTTTTAGAAAGGAATCCAAGTATTTTGGCCCAGCTTTAGAGCATTTAGAAAAGAAAAAAATGTGCAAGGAAGCAGAAAACCAAATGTAGATAAACCTTGATCCTCATCATCAAGCGAAGCTTCTTCATCTTCATCAAGCTGCACGGGTTCCGGCATGCCATTGTCACTCTCCAGTGCATCCAAGCGAGCAAGAATCGCCTATACCAACACCAAAATTGAACTATTTCTGAATCAATTCAAGCTCAAAACATATGTTTCAATTAAAAAACAGAGCTTCAATCTCTTAATTTGGTCTCTAAACTCGAAAGAGTCCCAAATCCGACTTCGTTGCTTGAAATCACTTACCTGTGTTCTATTGTCGGTGCTAGCAAGCGCCGCCGCCATTTTCGGAGCAATCTTACGAGACCGCGTCGACATCCGTCGCGCTGAATTCATTGTTTCTTCGTCCATCTCTGCAAGTTGAGAATCCAGATATGCAATAAAATTTAAAGTTTCAAAGCATGTCACGCCATTACGAGAAGAAAGTTCAAAAGAACGTGAGTAGTTTAACGCTTCATTTCACCAAAAATCCAATCTTTATGTGCCAAACGAATGGAGAAGGAAGGGGACGAAAGCTGTCACAGAAGCAAAGGAAATCCGGCAATAAAATTAGGGTTCGCACATTGGAGTGATTGCGGGTTTACGGAATCGGGTAGAACATGGGTCGAGTTCAACTTGGAAAACAAAAAATGAAATTACTCCCAATCACCCAATAACTCCACATAACCACCTCCTAACCCCCCACCCCCCCCCCCACCCCCCCCCCCCCCCCCCAATTAGCCACCTCAACCCCGTCCTAAACTCTTTCCAAATGTGTATTTATTATGCAAATACATTCTAAATATGTGACTATTATGCAAATTCATAATACTTCATCCGTCCCGAAGTATTTGTCCAGTTTTTACTTTTGGAACTGTTCATCTAGGCACGACTCATCAAATTCTCTCAATGTGTAAGCCTAAATATAGTCATGTTTGATATTGTTTGATTTATCTTAACATATTAATTATTATTATTATATAATTTCTATATTTTTTTAATACACAAATTACAAGATAAAATGGATTAAAGAAGTGTATTGGATAGTGTGTAAAAATGAAAGTGGACAAATACTCTGAGACAGAGGTAGTAGTCACCTATTTGGAGGTAACTTAGAGCGGGCCTGGGGTGGGAGTATGAGTGATTTGCAGTATAGAACGGGCAAAAATAACTAAAAAGAACTCTTTGTAAGTAGGGTGTCGAACCTCAGGGAGACGTGAGTTAATTTAATTTAAACAAAAGTTTACAAAAGAAGTTGTAAAATATTTTTGGTCTTTTTGGTTTTAGAGATAAAATAAAAAGTGTAAAGGAGAGAGTTCCAAACAACACAAAGTTTTTGATGATGAAAAGTTAGGGGTAGAAATTGATAAATTAATTGTCCAATGTTTTTATAAAAGTTGGATTGTCAATTTATTTTTATATAGAATGTGTGGGGTTGCAGAAAAGTATTTAGGGACGCTCTCGCAGTTCACCTAAATAATAACTACTCCGACTTTAACATGCTAATGATAAATCCGGAGTAATTATTTAGTAACAACGGCAACCATAATTATTTTATTGTATGTTTACCCAATTTAATGGTGTAAAAAAACAACTCAATAATTATGTCTACCCGAAAGTCTTCAATCCCGGTTAAAGGTAGAGAAGACTTACGGTGTATTTAAAAAGTGTTCTATTTTATGATTATATCAATTTTAGCTCATATTCCTTGTAACAATTATGTTTATGATTGGGCCCTTGATTAAAAATTACAAACATTTCAAATTTATTTATTTTTAAATACAACATCTAAATAAAATAAAATTAACAATCCATATTAAAAATATTCAAAACATTAAGATGGACAATTAATTATACCAACTTCTAACCCCAATGGAATTTAGAAGTACATAGTTTGAAGCTTAAACAAATAAATATTTATTACAAACATAAAAATCTTACAAAAGGGAAGATGTGTTCTTGAGCTCCAAATATGATAAATGATGATGAAGATGGAGTAATTTTTATGTGTTTGGATGAAGAAAGTGGTGAGATATTAGCGAGGAAGAAGAAGAAATTCGGAAATGGAGAGAGTAGAGAAGTGGGGGGGTTCCAACCTCCTTGAAGAAGAGAAGGGTTGGGTTTTTATAGATGAATTCGTATATACGGAGTATGTAACGCCACGACCCGGATACCCAAATTTATTCGAATATCCGACTCGCGGTGTTAACATGTGTAACTTTTTGAATCGGAAAATGGAGCATTAAACAAAACTTATTTATTTATTGATAATATCAGAGTAACTATTATACATGCGGAAAGCTTAACATATTCGTACAAAATATATATTTCAAAATAACGTCTTTATTGTTATTATCTTTCCTTATGTCATCTCGTCCATCCTTCCATCGCCTTAGCATTGTCCTCTGGTTCGGTCACTATTCTGTTTGTGTACCAAAAAAAAAATGGAGCCAACCCGATCAGCAAAAGCTGAGTGGTACCAATTATAACAATAGGTACGAAATATAATAGCGTAGACATATACTTTTCTCAAAATTCTTTACTTTGATAATATAAACATATTATTGTATAAAACTGTAGTATCAAGAAAATCAACTTTTCTTTTACTCTTTGTTTAACTAGGACTTCAAGTACTTCGGGTACAAGACGAGTCCATTATCTCTTTCTGGGACTTCAAGTACTTTGTGTACAAGACGAGTCCGTTATCTTTTTCTGGGACTTAAGTACTTTGGGTACAAGACGAGTCCATTATGACGAGCTCGTACGTACGGCAATGGAGGGGTACTGGTTAACCCTGTGGAAACTTGTGAACCGTAGTTCACATACTAGAAATCGTTTGATGATTTTAGAAAATATAATTTGTATCTGTATGTGTCTCATTAACTTCTTTGAATCCATATTTCAAATTTAACACATATCATATTTACTCTATATACGTAAAATAATACATAGAGTATTTTATATTTGCTTCAAAGCTATCTTTATTTTCTTACTAAAAGCTTATTAAAAACTTCCTTAAAATGTAAAGAAATAGTTTTAGGTGTAGAATGTAAAAGAATCTTGTCACTTGGAGTTGGTCATTTCCGGTCACCTTCTCCGACGAGGTAACTTTGTTTTTATGTTTAAAACCTAATTTTTCTTCTTTTTATCATCAAAATACTTTTTATAAAACATATATAAATAGTTTGGACGTAAAGATTTGTACAAATTGTATGCCGCTATCGTGACCCATTTTTCGGTTGCCTTCTTTAACGGTATTCAAAAATTTGTTTCAAAACCCTTTTTTTTCTCTTCGCATACTCTTATAAAATCTTTATATAATCCTTTTGGAAAATATTTTAGACAATTTGGACGTAACGCATGTTCAAAGTAAAAGTCGGCAGTGTTCCCGATTATTAGTGACGGAAATTAAATCAATTGAATATATAACAAATATAGCATATATTAACGTATTATATTAAGTAACGATTGTTATACGGGCGGCGGTACTCACCTTATAACAAGAGGTTAAGACTTGGAATTAACCAACGTAATTGGCAAGCTTGGTTGATTTCCGATGCTCTCTCTCTCTCTCTCTCTCGACGTAAGTATAAGCTTTAGTAATAAACTAGTTATTCCTTATGTAATTGCCTTGGTAGACTCTTTTTTTATTTATTATTATAATATGCACGAGACCACTCATATATATATATATATATATATGGAGGAATAGTAACTTTGGATTAAAATATCTAGTTTTGGATTAGGACGAAACATGGTGATTAAGCTACTCCATTAATTATTTACTGACACACTATCCAACAGTAACAGTTTGGGATAAGTATCAAATATTATATTCCGTAATTAATTTACTTTTGATTTAAATTTTATTTTGATATATTTTTTTTTTAGAATTAAAATGTCAATGTAAATTATTGTTAAATTTACAACTTAAATTTTTAATCTAAACTAGCCCAATTATCAATTAATTATTTTATTTATCGAAATATCTAGACCAATTTTCGGGGCGTTACAGAGTATATATAAACAGTCCCACTTTAGTCAATATAAGCACAGTAGCACACATGGAAATGGGGATGCTTGTTGTGCCGCGTGATCCCTTGTTTGATTCCCTCTAGTGTCGGTGTTTTGTCATTTTTTTCTCTCAATCAATATAATGGCCGACTTTCAGTTCAGAACATTAGCCGTGTTCGCCAGTGATATGCTGAATAATCAGCTTCGGCGCGATGGTCAAAGCTCCGGTTCCACATGCCGCACGTCCAGGGCTGTTTTATGCTTTATTTTTGTTTAATTCCTTCTTTCCTTCAAATCTCTTCCATTTATTTTGGTCCCAAACTTCCATGTTTATTTTCCGTTCTTAAAATTGTTCTCAATGCGTCCAAATGGCCTCAAAATACCTGCAAAACATATAAAACCAAGCATAGGACTGCTCTCCAAAATAAAACGGAAAAATGAAATAAAATATAAACATTAAATTCAATTGGGACTCAATACTCCTTCAAAATATGCCTAAAGAGTGTATAAAATATGTGCATATCAATGAGTGGGGGCTAGGATGAGGGTTTAGAAAGTAGGTTAGGGGGATGATCCATCAATTCTATGATTAGAGCATCGGAGGTGCTCCAAAAATACGGTGACATCGCTAGTAGCACTTGATGAAGGGATGAGCCGTATTCAATCCACTTGGCCGTGTAATGGGGTCCTCGTCATCGAGTCGTCTAGATTGAAGGGAGGCCTTTGTTCTGATGAGCCGATAGTGTCATCGGCCTCAACCTCGGCAGAGGATCTTTTCTATGATGATCCAGTCTTGGGGTTGTTGAGTTATTGCCATTTCAGTGAATGGCTTAAAATTCTCAAAGATGACAGGGATTTTGCCTTGGTATCCGTCGTCTTAATACAGGGCGGTGGCTTGCCGCAGAACATCAACATCGTTCATCTCGCTCTTCCGCAACTGAGAGCATTCTTCATACGCCATCAGATGAAGCACAACGGTGCACTTTTGGACGCTGCTAAAACTGTGCCGGCCTCTCGCATCAAGGCGTTGGGTGAACCAAGGCATCTCGCGTTCAATATCAGCGTGTATGCATAAAAACAAAGAATAGCTCTACTGAAAATGAGTACTAAAATCTTCCAGTTTGTAAATACACGAAGTATTGAAGTAATTGTTGAGCAGTGATTCGTGTACAACCACCCAATCACGATTTAAATGCTCACGTCGGGTCGAGTGCGGGGACAATTCCACTTCCTCTTGTTGCCAGCACTGGTAACAGCTCGACGCAAAAGAACGAAAAATGAGAGCTCTTCTTTAATCATCAGATGATGATAATCTCATTTTTTGAGCATTTTGTAGAGAGAATTAAGAGAAATAGAATACACTTTGGAAGAATTATAAAGAGAATGAGAATAGGTTGCATGTGTTTTTTATGTTTAAAAGAAGGGGTATTTATAGTATTAATGCAAGGGAGATAATGCCGGGATGGGAAGAACGGTCGTCTGGCCAGCGTTTCAGCTGAGATCCCTTGATATTTGAGTTCCTAATGTTAGCCTTGTGTGTAGCCTCTCCTCCCTATATTTAAAAAGAGTATATATACAAATGTGAGTGATAATGAGCTAATATATCCATTAATGTATGTTACGATGTCACTATAAATCATATAAATTCCCTATAAAAATAGATAACAATTATAGTTCAAGTGATGAAATAAGGAGTAAAAGATTGTACATTGAATCAGTTGTACCTATAATTCAAATATGTTTTTTTTGAAAGACATCAACCAATGAGCTATAAAGTTTGTCTATATTTGAGTTTAATTTGGTTTGAACTTGATCAATATCGGGTCCAATCCATTTTTGGGTCTAATTGGTTTATGATCTAACTAGTTTCGAGTTTAATCGATTCTGGATTTAATCGATCCGAGTCTAACTGGTTAGGGTTGAATTAGATATTAGGTCTGAATATATTCGATTTGGTTTTCGTTCTGATCATTTTGGGTGTTTGGGTTTAATTCGTTCATCAGTTTCCGGGTCATTTTAGATTTGGTTCGGATTATCATATCCGGATCAGTTTTGCCAAGTCTAGGTTTAAGGCAAGGGAGAAAACCCCGGGTGATGGCAGGGGGTGGGGTGGGGGGGAGTGTTTAAACTTTAAAGCCAGGCATTTGACACTGTGGACGTTAAGCCCATTTCTTGTGCTCTCAGCCTCCAATTTCTTATTGAATGCAGAGAGGGAAGCATTTCTTCAAAACCATCAGGCAAACCTCTAGGTCTCTCTCCACTGCGAATCAGGTATTCCTTCCTATCCGTTCAATTTCAGCTATCGTTTTTTTCCAATATGCTCAATTTGTATGCAATTTTGTATTCCGTGTTTACTACATGTACAGATGGAAGAGCGTTACAGCTTCAATCCGAGCTTGCGATGGAACCCCGAGGTGGAAGACTACTTCACCAAAGCTTATGGAGCTCAACACTTCGCTTGCATCTCCACTGCTCTCACGTATGTACTGTTTTCTGCTCTTCCAATGCATCCGTTTCCACATTTGAGGTCATATTTCCTGATTATGCTATCATGTTCTGTGTTTGATTCAGGCGGCCTTCATGTTACTCTTGTGTTCGTGTTAATACGCTTAAATCCACAAGCGATTGTGTTATTGAGAAACTTATGAAAATTTTAGGGGAAAGAGGGCATGAAAGTGGTAATGCTAGTGGAATTAAGGTAGATTCAGGGGAACTCTGTGAGGAATTCAGGGGAAGTGCAAAATCCACGAGGCCTCATGTAGAAAGTATCTCAAAATGTCCATTTCCTGGGCTAGACTATGTGCTTTTCATTAAAGGTTCAGGGCCGCATGCTATTGATTATGGGCACGAAAAAGGTAAACCATTGAAAGAAGTGGTTGTGAGTCGAAAATGTGCAGAGGCTGTTCTTCGTGGTGCCCAAGTAGGTATTTGATTTTAGTCATTGTTTTCTATCACATGTTTAATGCATCCATTATGTTCTGTCTTCTGCTGCTGCTAAGTGAGATGCACTATCAGTGATCACTCTCTGCAGAATATATGTTCTGCACCTTCACAAGTTTGAGTAAACTAAAGTTCTACTGGACCTTTATTTCTTACAACATTGCATCCTATATCCATCTAGTTCTATAGAGATTTCATTTTATATTTCCTTCTATCCTTTTCCAATTATAAAAATTAAAAAAGAAGACATATAGGATTGAAATTTCCATGCATTGGGAGTTTTGGCGAAGGAAAAGATTCATGTGTTAAAAATCTAATTTTTTTAATTAAAAATTAGGACTCAGAAATCAGGGTGCTCTATGGCTTGACTTTTGACAATCATTCTTGGTAATATATTCAGTAATTTAACATGTTAGCAATGTACATTGTTGTCTATCGCTAGCATCTAATGGTGGTAATATTGCTTCTCTGCAGTTTCAGTCTATTAATTATATTTATGAATATATATGCACAAATTAGGATGAAGTATTACATATTTTCCAAAGGTATGAAATTAGAAAGACACTCATTCTCACTTTTGTTAATCTACTCGCAGGCATATGTACCTGGTGTATTGGCCTGCACTGCTCATGTCGAGAAAGGGGATGTGGTCGCAGTTTCAGTTGCTGTGGAACAGCCTGATCCTGAAGGCGGATGGGGTATTGGTATGACGCGTGGGACTGTCCTGCAAGGATCAGAAGCAGGTATAGTACGGAGTGATATACATTTTTTTACTACAAGCTCCCTGTATAGGATGACCTTGTGTCTGCTGAATCTTACTAATTTATTTCATATTTTAATGATGGCACATGTCTGAACAATGATAATGTTGTTTAATGTGTCTTTCGCCTCAAGTTTTCTATATTTCCTTTCAATATTAATTACATCTCCTAAAAGCAGCAACAGCCTAGTCAAGCCAGGCGTCAAGACGCACATAACCTTACTCTGTAAGAAAGTAGAGATGTTGTGACCGTAAGACCCTATATGCATTGTTGCATTTACTACCCAAAACTTCATAGAAAGTAAGAAGTAAGAACAAAAGGAAGCTTAATGTGCTCATTTACCCGAAAGCTAAAACAATGCCAATGATGACTGTTTTAGCTCCATTGTCAATAATTACATCTTCTTTAGGTGTACATGTTATTTTGTTTCCATCACACAAGTTTTTAGCTATCCCGTCATTCTATTCAATTGCATGTCTTCTGATTCTGTCAAATTTATGCTTGTTTGCCACTTGTATTAGTCTCTCTAAATATTACTCCGTATGAATCAATTTGCATTTTTCTGTAACCAATTGTCAATTTGTCATGTGGTTTCAGACCCTCTATATTCGGAAAGAAGTGGACTCTATATTGGTCAAGGAACCGCAATGTTGTCACGAGCCGGGATCTTTCGTGTACCAGGAGGAGTTGCCGTGGATATGCATAATAGAGTGTATGAACTACCCTCCTTCAATGGTATACTTCTCTGTTTATATATACTGCGATAAGCCGATAAGTGTCTGGAGCATTAATGTCATTTCATTTGCATCTTATCTTATCCATACCTGTTTACACTGTTTTTCTCATGTTAGGCTCTTTAGATTTCATCTTTCTTGAATTCATCACGAAGATGAATGAAGTATGGTAATCTTTCGCTGTATTATCATTTTGTAGTCTTCTTTTCATCAAATATGGATATATGTGTCTGCTGTTAGTACTTAGTAAGGCACTAATACACTATTGCATCCTATCTTATATTGTGTAAATACTAATGATATTCTTTGGGAAATGATCTTTTACTCCTTTTGTATTCTATAAGAGACCCCTAGTTATTATCCCCTCCCACCCCCATTTTTTGATACTCATTTTCTTCATTGTTAATGTTATATGATGCAAACTACAAGTTTAGATTACACAGATGCCACATACAAGTGGGACGGTTTGATCATTTGACAGTGGTAAATTCTTGTCTTTCAGAATTGCTCGAGGGTGAAATCTTTCTTCAGAATTTGCCAAGCATTATAGCTGCACATGCCTTGGGTATGCTTTATCACATGCCACATATTTTCTTACTTCATTATTACAAATTATATCTCTGGGATCTGGTTGCACATGTCCCAACATATTACAGATCTTAGATATTTATCACCAAGGATGCCTTTTTTAGCTGCAGTACTATATAACATTATATGGAAAATGAAACTCACATAGTAGATATTTAGAGATGCAAATACCAAAGGTGAGACAATATCCATGGTTGCATTTTGGGTAGTTACGTACTTATGTATGTACTTTTTCTTCTAAACAATCAATTGTGATTTAGGTTTGACTAAATTTAAGTCCTTGCACATCCAAGGTTGGACAAAACCTGCAAACCATGCAGACTCAGTTAGTATGTGGTGATTGATGGTTCAACCCACAGTCTCAAAGTCTAGACAATGTATTAGATTAAGTGATGAACCTAAAAATCATTACTTACCATCTAACTGTGCACTATGTAAAATGAAAAGGGCATCTTTAAAAGGAGTTCCACAACATACATCCTAATTAATTTATAAAACAATAAATTGATGGTGAAACAATTTTTCTGTACCATGTTCGCTTGAAAACCCTGCTAATGCACAACACATTACATAAAAGATGCATTACGGTGTTAAATTGAAGTGATCTGTGGTAGATGAATACCTCGTTTCTCAATTTTGAATTATTTCTTACCCATTTATCTTGTTTCTTTTCCTTAACCATTTTTGCCCAGACCCTCAACAGGGAGAAAAGGTATTGGACATGTGTGCTGCTCCTGGTGGTAAAACGACTGCAATTGCAATTCTTATGAAGGACACAGGCGAAATAATTGCTGCTGATAGATCTCACAACAAGGTGCTCCTTCTGAACTTGGCAGGTGATAGCAATTGCATTATCTGTAGTTCTTACTCAGGGAATCCTGACTTGCGTTTAGGTTTTTAATGAATCATCAATCATCGTGGTTCAAAATTAAGAATCTGCAATTTTAGTCAATTTATAGGGTCTCAACAAAGTAATTTCTATGTAAGAAAATAAAGCACAAACAAATGCAAACAATAAAAGGTAGGGAAAGAGCAAATTCAAAACGCCCGTCAAAATGAAGAGAATGACGAAGGAGCTAACTTGATATACATTAAGCACACCTTACTTCTGGTTGCCCGGATTGTTGGGCTTAGATTCATGAAAGAAATGCAAAATGGAAGCTCTCTGACATGGCCCGCTTATATTAGGCAATATCAAACTTAGGTAAAATGCCTTGTGCGAGGACTATGAACTCATCACACCATTTATCATGTTGGTCCAACGGCTGGAGATTTCTAAGAATAGATGGCATTGTATGTATGCTAAAATTGTAGTTAAGAGTATGATGCACATATAGTATTAAAATGTCACAATTTACAAAGCTATCTAATAACTATAAAAATGAAAATAAAAATAGTAGAAATGTGATGGAATTCCCATGATTATACAGAATGTCCTGCCACTGTGCAATAGTGCCAAAAGGACACTCTCTTTGAAGAAAAGTGCAACCGGATGTACTATAAAGGGCATTTTACACTTTCACATGCGGCTCATTTCTCACCGAAACAGAACCTTTGAGAACATTACTTTCATGTGATCACTGAAGTTTACAAGTTTAGATTTTAAAATCTCCTTTAAGCTTTGAGTGTTTCAATGTTTTCGGTATCTTGTAGAAACTATTAAACTAGAAGTTAAGAAAAAACTATACCAGTTATTTTATTAAAAATACTTCTGGCTTCAATTTCAGGTGCTTAATATTAACAAATTGGCTGCTGAGATGGGTTTGAATTGTATAACTACATTTAAACTTGATGCACTAAAATCTTGTAGTCGAACTTGTGAAGATGGTGGTTTGCCTGTTCTCAATGTCAGGAATGAAGTTTTGACTACTCCGCCTGATTTAATAGGGCCAGAAATGTCCAAAATCCAACCCACTGGGACTAATGGTTTGGATGTTGAGTTGACATTGCAGATTGAATGTGAGTATAACACTTGAATTTAGAAGATTACTATGTGTCTGTGATTTCATTTGCTGCATTAGTGTGTCATCTATTTTTGTGCATGTCCCAAATCATCAATGGTTTCGTTGTGCATGCCTCATACACACATATGCATGTGTATCAAATTTCAATTCAACTAAAGGACAACATTTTTTTATTAGTATTAATGTAGGCGTATGTCATATATTCTACAAATTAAGAAGAATGACAACCTGGAATTTCAGTATTTCAGATACATGCCTCACTTCCTGATTATTTCAGCGGGAACCGTGCAATTGGGAAGCAGTGGTTACACAAGCAAAGCTGAACTGCGTAAGAGTATTAGAAAAATGAGAAATGGGCCTGGAAGGAACCACTGTGCTGGTGGCAGGGTTGAAAAGTCTAAAGGATTTGCTCCAAATAGCTTTGATCGTGTTCTCCTTGATGCTCCCTGTTCTGCTCTCGGTTTGAGACCTCGACTGTTTGCAGGAGAGGTTAGCTACAGTTCTCACCTTACTCATAAAAGACACCCTCCTCTCCAACTTGTATATTACTACTCATAAAAGACACCCTCCTCTCCAACTTTGGTCGATAAAATCATATCTTGGTAAATTTGCAGCATTGAGTTCCATATAATTTGATCTCACCTTTTAACTCAATACATGTATACTCCTATCAAGTCTCAACTAAGCGGGGTTAAAGATAACTATTTTTGCATGACTAGGAAAAAACTTTGGGTGGTGTACAAAAACTGTGGTTGCACCCCTCTACCATTGAGGTAGGGGTGGACATACACCCACCCCCAGACCCCATTCGCGGAATTTTACTAGGTTGTTGCATGGTGTATGCCCACATGATGCCTTCTAAGCAACATTTGGTGTGGTTAGAGCCATGATTGTTAAGTCGACAAGTCGAGTCGAGTCGGTGAAGGGGAGACTAGTGGACTAGTCGACTAGTGGGCCTACTAGTCGTAGACTAGTCGACAGATCACAATTAGTATTGAATTTTTTATCATTATATATATCTACAGTCACCCAAGATAACTATATAAATTTAAATGACAAAATATCATTACCAAAGCAAAATTATGTTTAAAGGTAGCACATAAAATCACTGAAAAATGAAGAAAACTGAAAAATTAAGAGTATAATATACTCCACTTAATAGTTTAATGAACCAAAGTGAAGATAATCAAACCCAATTAAGAGTATACTTTAGTGATAAATAATTAAAGATAGAGAGATCTTAGGATAGAGAGCGTGTGAATCCTAGAAGATGAAGAAGAATCAATTCCAAAAAATTGATCCAGGAACTTCTGGAACTCTGGAAGATGTCGATGAAGGAGATGTTGCGATTTGGGAAGGGTTAAATGTTGATTCACTGGATTTCGGTTGTGCTGATTGAACCGATCGAGGGATGTTGTATTTTATCGGGTCATTTTATAAATTTAATGAAATTTGGGTCAGGTTGGGCCAAATTGGGCAGGTTTTCTTCACAGACTAGTCGTCGCTAGGCGTGCCTAGGCGTTGCTTAACTCGCACAGTCGCCTAGTCTGCCCTAGTCGCTAGTCGACGTGCAAGTCGCCATTCAGAAAATGCCTGGACGACTAGTCAGCGACTAGTCGTCGACTAGGCGACGACTTGACAACAATGGTTAGAGCCTAGAGGGATAGACTTCTATTTTGCTAATAGTACAAAAACAAAGACTCCGGTTTGTAAAAATAAAAATAGGAAAATTCACAGATCCTTTTGAAAATGCATGCAACCATGGAGCACCTATATATTTTATTTTGATTGCTTTAAAAGGGTCCAAACCGGCTGCTGTTATATGCAGGAAACCATGGAATCATTGAGGAAACATGCCAAGTATCAGAAAAAAATGTTTGACCAGGCTGTTCAACTTGTTCGGCCTGGTGGAGTTCTTGTGTATTCCACGTAAGTGTAGCTGCATTTCCTGATTTCTTAATAAGTGTTACACACACACACACCCTCCATCCAAAAAAAGAGCCTCCTAATTGAGTTCGGCACAAAGTTTAAGAAAAATAAAATTGTGTGGTTGAAAGTGATGCAAAGAAAAGAGAAAGATGCTGAGCCACACAAAATTTGTCAAAAATGGAAAGCAGAGCCTTTTTTTGGGACATCCCGAAAAGGAAAAGAAGAGTTTTTTTTGAGACAGAGTATACACACACACATATACACACACACACACTATATATATGTGTGTATGTATGTATGTATAATTTTATCGTCTTATTTTTCAATTAAATCAATAAATTGTGTAATATTAAGACTTCATTATACATTATCCCGTTTGTTCCTTGAAACATTTGGTTATTTATACGGTTTGGAACTGTCAAATTTTCAACCTTCAGATGCACAATAAACCCTGGAGAGAATGAAGCAGTGGTGCGATATGCATTGGATACATACAAGTTCCTCTCACTAGCAGAGCAGGTAACGGTGACATCACTGTGGTATATTTCATATTTCGGTGTAAATGGTTGTGATAATACTCTGTATTATAGTACAAGCTTTTGTAAATTTTTTAGAATAATCTTTTGGAAATTATATTGCTCGCTGAGGTGGTGGAACCAACTTCTTCTTATGGGAATCTCACTATTGTACTTTTTTAGTGTGTGGAAGAGCTTATTTCACACAAATGACAACACAATTTCTTTTCTATTTGCATATTAGGTGACATTTTAAGATGAAACACTTTTAGTATAATAAAATACTCCCTCCGTCCCGGTGTATTTGTCCGATTTCTTCTTGGCACGTGAACCAAGTAGATGTTAAAAAGCGAATAAATGAGTAAAGGGTTAATATGACATTATTATGCTTTACTTTTTGTTTTAAAAGGAAACTGGACAAATATACTGTGACGGCCTGAAAATGAATACTGGAATCTGGGAGTCCGGGACGGGGGAGTATTAGCTTAACATGATTTCCGAACACCTTACATTATCCTCCATGATCTCCTTGATTTTGAATTTTGCAATTTATAACTAATTTTCTTTTGCCTAGAACCCAAAGGTTGGAGGACCTGGTCTTACTGGTTCCTGCCAGTTTTCGGATGGATCAATCGAGTAAGTATTCATGTTCCTTCCTGGATTCGTTTGTGGCACATTTGAGGCTCATTGGCTAACAAACATAAACCGACGCCTTGTTGATGTTTGATGAAGATACAATGTTGTTTTTTTTATATTCGATAACCATGGGATAGATTAGTCTCGTCATCTCATGTCAAAGTTTTATATCGTTATGTGCTATATATTATATTATCCCAGGGAATGGTTGAAGCCCGGCGAGGAAGATTTTGTACAGAGATTCGATCCATCGTCTTCTCTTGATACAATTGGGTTTTTCATAGCCAAGTTCAATGTTGGGCCGAAAAATGTGTGATATGAAGAATGCGCAAACATGGCTCCTGAAATGACGACAAATCGTTCCCTGTAGGTAAAGTATCAAGGTACTCAATGGCACCACACATTTTCTTAGTCCAAGGATGGTTCTTGAGAAATCAACTACAAGTAGGTTTTAAAAATATCACTTCATTGTTTAAACATTTGTTTTTGTTTTCGTCTAGTTTACTTTTCTCCTTTGGACCAAATCTGAATGGGGAAGCTATGTATACTTTTTCTCATTTTAAATTTAGATCATAATATTTGGGGAAAATGTATCGAGTTATGATGTAGCCATAAACTATACTGGGTATAATGTAATCTTAAACCTTAGTATATGAAATATTTCAAATAAGTTAGATACGATAAATTACTTTAACAAACAAGAGTTTGATTTTTTTAAACATTAGCACCTAGTGTTAAACACACCGAATAGTCAAACAAACCGAATATTTTACTACCTCTGTCCCAATTTAAATGGTTTGTTTTGGTTTACGATGTTTGACTGAAGATATTTTTAAGACAATTTATTTGAAAATTTGGGTAGAATTAAAAAAAAATTATAATTATATATTTAAGACAAGATGTGACATGATTATATCAATTTATCAAATAACAAACGAAAATAAGAAAAAGAAATTGAATGAAGTTTGATCCTATGAATAATAAAAAAACAATTTAATTTGAAACGGTGGGAATATATAAATTATGGTGAATTATGTTCGGCACCAAATAAAATATTTCATATGATTGAACATTCTTAATAAGATGGTGAACTATTTTATGTACTTAAACTGTATTAGTTCGAGCCAAATAGGCTTTTTGGCGTTTGAATAAGCAAATCACATATAGGCTTTTTGGCGTTTGAATTTTGGAAGATTGTGGTAATTTTTTCATTCATCTATAAACCAATGCTTTCCTGTTTGATATTTTGCGACTATTTGATACTCTCTTTGTCAAAATTGATTCTTTTCTTTAGGCGTTACGAGACTTTCAATTTTATTTTAAATCCAATTTATTTGATTGAATTGGTTCTTACGTTTAAAATATTGTTTTATTTGATTGTAGGTGTGAAATTAAAAAATAAAAATTATATATTTAAAAATCACATGAAAAGATCTATAAAACCAAAGATAGTATAATTATATTATTTTATCGAATTAGTAATGAAGGTAGGCAAACAAAGTACTCCTTCCGTCCTAAAAAGATTACCAGGGTTACCATTTTAGTCTCTCAATAACTTTTGTTTGTTTACTCATTTTCGGTGACCAGTTGATAAATTAAAATATTCTTGTTGCATCTTATTTAGGACTTTTAATATATATTTTAAATAGTAATTTATACTCTTTATTTCTCTACCAATTTCTACATAAAATATTTTTAAAAGAGATAATATTTTACACATTATTCGAAATGTGATGAATTTTTTAAGACGGAGGGAGTATATAAAGCTACAGACCTCGTGAATATTCTATCGATAAAATGATATTGGACGGGAGTATAAGGTAAGACTCGTCACAGACAAATACTCCATAAAAAATGTATGCCTCAACGGCATCAGTTTTTGAAATATAATTTACGTTTGCCGAATGTCAGACAACCGGTTCTATGGTGTAGTGGTTAGCACTCTGGACTTTGAATCCAGCGACCTGGGTTCGACTCCCGGTAGGACCTCTTTTTTTTTTTTATTAATACTCGATATTTCCCATTTTTGAAGTCTCAAATCCAGAATTTTTTACACTAGCTCCGATTAGTTTTTTAAAAAAATAAGTAATGACGTAATTATTTTATCAAACTTTTAATGAAAAGTGTAAGGAAAAAAAGGTATCGTTTAACCATATAAATAATACGGAGTTAGATTTTTATTAATACTCCATATTTCCCTTTTTTGAAGTCACAAATCCAGAATTTTTTACTACTCTCTCCGATTATTTCTTTAAAAAATAAGTAATAACTTAATTATTTTATCTTATCAAACGATTAATGAAAAGTATTAAAAAAAAGGTATAGTTTGACCCATATAAATAATACATAGTTAGACTTAGGGGCTGTTTGGCAACTTCTGAATCGGTAAGTGCTGAACCAGTAAGAGGTCTGAACCATTAAGTGCTGAACCAGTAAGAGGTCTGAACTATTAAGAGCTAGTATATTGCTTAACTATTCAGAGGCAAATGTCTGATCAATTCAGATAAGTGGTCTTAACCATTCAGACTTTGTATAATACTTAACCATTCAGAGGCAAATCTCTTAACCATTCAGAAATCTGAACCATTAAGAGGCTGAAACAAACAGTCTGAACCATTAAGTGCTGAACCATTCAGACATCTGAACCATTAAGAGGCTGAAACAAACAGCCCCTTAGATAATACCTAACATTTCCACCTACACAACCTAACCTAATCCATATATACTACGCATGATTTTTTATTATAGTTTATTTGATTAATCTATAAACAATTTTATAAATATCAAAGTGATTATTTATTTTGAAGTTTATAGATTAATTATTTTATATATCAAAATAAAAAAAGTTACGTACATATTCATAAAACATACGGTGTACTTAATAAATTAGACAAACTAAGTCACAACCATAACATGAAAAATAATCCATAATAGAAAATACGAAATCCAAAGAGATTAGATATAGAGAATGAGAAGAGATGTGGAAGTATATGAATATTACGATTTCCGTCCTAGAGTTTTTGTCTACTTACTTGTTGGCACAAGGACAAAAAGAATGAAGATTAAAGAGTAAAGAAAACCAAAATATCATTTCTATATGGTGGCACATGTATAAAGTAATGTTAAAACATAGACAAATGAGTCAATATGACAGTGTATCATTTGTAAGTATAGTCTTGCAAGAGGACCTTGGCAACAATTTTAACTAATTTTTTTAAATTTTAACGTTGATGCCTCAACGGGTCTCATCCATGAAGTTGTGGGTTTGACCTTTATTGTGACGAGACCATGATGAACTCTTTTTTGCAGCAAAAACAGAGGGAGCTATGGTGCAACTTGCAAGAGAAGCAGAATGGGGTGAAGAAGGCACTGAGCTGGATTAAATCAAGGGAAAGGCGCAAGTGATTCTTGAGACAAACTGCAAAGAAGTGATAGATGCTCTTGTTTTTGTTCGATAATAAACCAATGCAAAATGAAGTAGAGTTATCTTTCTGTGCTCCTAAGATACACATGTGAAATGTACTAGAATTGCAACATACTCTGTATGAACTTTCTCACACTTTTTATGGCCTGTTAAATGAATCTTCTTTTTTTACAAAAAAAAACTTATTTCTTTTATGATATCAAATATCAATACACTAAAAACATCAAGACTATGTAAGAATCTGCCATGCAAAAGTATGTACCAAAAACAAAGCTCACTTTTAAATTACCATCAAAGGATTTTTTTTTCTTTCAAAAATTCGGCAGAAAAATTCAACCGCCCCAAAATCCCACAGAGAACTGAATTTACAATTACCAAAAACAAAGGTGGCCAAAACTTCTCTCCAATACTCAAAAGTGTTCAACATATTAGCCCTAAAAGCCTTTCATAGTTTCTTTTTTTTCTTCTTCTTTTTATAATTGCAAATAAAACTCCGGTCAGACGAATATTATAAGTTATACTCTGGCCACTACAAAAACATTGGGATCATTTGACCAGGACAAATATTCGGCTTCAACAAACAACAAACAATGGTCATTCGGGTTGAACACCAACCGGTCCAAGAAATCAATCATCATCAGACGAAGAATCCGCAGATGCCATCCTAAAGTCATCTCCTGTTGCCGTGTCCTGAACACAAAGATGATTTCATCATATGGACGGATCATCAAGAGCACAATGAAAACTACGCGCTTAATAGCGCGGTACTAAATACCCTCAACTAATTCCATCTACAGTATGTGTTTGGATCACAGATAATGACAAGAGAAAATTGTCAAGAAAGTTACTCCGTAATTTTTTTATGTTTGTGTATAAGACCTAGGGAAGTGCGAAAAAATGATTTTTTATTACATACCCCCTCCGTCAAGAATAAACTCCAAACTTCGCTTCTTTTTTTATTGTCCCAAAATACACTTCACACTTCACTCATCTTCCTTAATGGAATATGTGACTCGCAACAGTCAAACTGTGAAATTTATGTTGGGATGGATGGAGTGTATTAATATTCCCTGGTCTATAAAATACTATACATGCGTATATAAATTTATTTATTTGCATTTTATCCAATATTATATATCCGCTCCATGCTTTATTTCCCTCCAAATTTCCCCTATGTTTTTCTTCCAACAGTACTCCCCCCCTCCCCAAAAGATTTTCCAAGATCCAAACAGACCCGTATGCACAGCAATTTCCTTTGCCACCTATGTTCTTTTTCCAAATTGATCCCACTTAATCCCGTAAGGCATCTATGGTCCACCTAGATTGAGCCCGAGGACTCAATCTGTCAAAACTCTAAAGCTTTTAAGAGATATGGCTAATAAAGAGGAATGAATCTCTTGCCTGCTGTTTATCCCAGTCTTTCAACTTTTGATGGGTTAACATGTAGTTATCCCGCAGTGGAGCCCACACCGGACCATCATTATCTTTTGCCCCAACAGATGTACCACCCTGAGGCAATAAGAATATATATTAAACATAACAACAACAACCTAGTAAAATACATACAGACATTTTCTGTTAGATGCTTGATGCATTGCTGCATTTACTATCCAAAACTTCATCGAAGGTAAGAAGCAATGTCATTTTGATTTAGTTCTTTATTTTCTGAAGCTAAAACATTGTCACTAAAAACTATTTTAACTCCACTGGCAATGGACTTAAAGTGTGAAAAAATAAAGTGCATTATGTTCAGAAATCAAGAAGAATTCTAAAGACAATGGTGTTTCTTGCTGCAAATAGGTGGCAAAACATATATGAGTGTGTGTGTGTACACACACACTGTGTGAGATTGAGAGTGTGTGTGTGTGTGAGAGAGAGAGAGAGAGAGTACCTTTTGAAAAATACCACCTGACTGGGATGAGCTCTTGCCCAACTCAGAGAAGAAAGCATCTTTCTTTCGCTTCTTTATTACTAATAGACCAGATATGAACAAGAAGCAGTCAGCACCACATTGTGATCCAACCAGAACTCAAAATTTATGGAATAAGCACGGCTTTGTATAATTCAACTCATAGTAAGATGTTCATGCAGGGATGATATGTTAACTGATTACTTACAATCCACACACTTAAGGATAGTCAATTCTTTCTAGCAAGCTACTCAATAAAAGATTAGAATTTTGAAAGCAGGTGTTATTTTTACTTACTTTTTTCATCTCTTGACCTTGCGGGATTTAAGCCTCTTTGAGCATGTTGAGCCTTGTTCACCTGAAAGAAAAGAAACCATGACTTTGAGTAAATATTCAACAACTTATTACATCCAACGGAAATGTATATTTATCAAGTAGCAAAAGAAACCAGAACTCTGAATGTGTACTTACAGCATTGAACAGCTTAACCACTGAGATTTCAGAAACACAGAAAGGCAATGCCCGAGCAAGTTAGTTTCATTCAAAAAAATATATGAAATAATTGTCATCAAAGTATTGATTCAATCAAAAGCTTAAAATGGTACCTCCTTTTGTAGCAATTCCTATTAGTAACTTTTCATGAGCATCCAAATAATTAGCAGGCTTCATATGACCCTTTTCTCCAATCTTGATCATAGATGAGAATTGAACACAAATTCAAGTAAGCATTGAGTTATTCAAGCATCTAAAAAATTCTTTGAAATATTATGTGTGTGTATACACATATAACACATGCATACATACATTTACATACCAAGTGTTTATCCTTCTTTGCATCACCTTTCACTTTCCTTTCTGTTTCTTCTTCAGCAAGTTTCTCTGCTACAAGCTTCTTATGAGCTGATAACACGGGACCCTGCAAAAGCCACAAATTATATCATAGATCTGTACAGTGGGTGATATCCTTGTAATTCTCTCTTTTTTTCCAAATACATCCTAATATTCCTTTGTCGTATTGTACTTCTTTTTTTTTCTGTTTTGCTCAAATGCTAATTTCAATATGACGGATGCTCATTTTCCTTATAAAAAAAATGCTCATATGCAAATGTTGGATCTACAATTATCATGGATTGTACAAGTACTGGGAAAAAAAATTAATCATTATTATTAGAAGAAGAATTATCAATTTTGTATTTGGTATAAAGCATCATTACCCATGTGAAATGAATTTGATGCTTCATATTCACGCCTACACAGCAAAAATTAATTGCAAAAGAAAGCAAGAGAAATAAATTTGGATTGGGTGCAAACTACTGACCAGTACATTATCGGAAGCAGTTTTCTTTAGTATTTTCTTGAAGGCAATTTTGAATGCCTTACATCCCTCCATGAACTTGGTGATTCCTGGCTGAATTTCTCCAACTTCATCTTCCGATTCATCATTCTTTTCCTCAACATCTCCTTCCTCATCATGAGATGTATCGTCTTCAAATTCATCATTTTTACCCTGAAATGCCACGTCTCCCAACTCTTCCACCACCCGGTCAGAATCATCATCCTTATCGTCATCGTCGTCGTCATCTGAATGGTACTCTCTTGCTCTCTTTTGAAATAGCTTCTTCATTTTTTTATCTATTCTAACTTTTTTCTCATTAAAAGGCATCGTCTTCTGCTTCTTTTTAGCTCTTCCATTTCTTTTCTTGCTCCCAATATGTCGTTTGTTCGGCATGCCCTTCTGTACTTCTGTCATTTTATCTATATATACTAGTTGTTTCCTCTGCCAATTTTCCCACCAAGACCAACTGCAGAAACAGTAAAAAAATAAGGGCATGCTCTCTGTCCTAATTGCTAAATTAGGCGGAGTACATATATCAAATGACTCAAAATGTCTCAAATGTTTATTATCTGCTTTATTTTTAAGTTTTTGTTGTTCAACACAAAATGTACATTTGTGCAGAGAGTTATTTGCTGCAAGACCCTAAGTCCAGCAACAATGATATCTATCTTGTGATTCCCAATAACAAAAACAAAAATTTTGGAAATTTATCTCACCTGAACAGTGGAGATATGAAATCAGCTCACTCTATTAACTAAACTAAACAATAAACAAAAATATACATCCCAGAATCTCTAAATAAAATTTTCTCTTGACTACGCAATAATAAGAAAAACTGCCATAGACTGCAGTCCTCTTATTGAAAGTTAAAATACTGGTACTTTGATATACTATAATAGAAACACAAAATTAAACAAACAGGTTAAAGAACATGAAATCAAAAAATTTGAAGAAAAGAAAAGGAACAGGATAACAGTGCAATTAATAATTTGAACACATCTATCTTCGTCTTAACAGAATTTCTAAGAATTCATCGACGAGAAAGGAATCTAAGCATTGCGTTTCATATCTGAAGAATTGAAAGAATACGTAACTGGAAGCAGTGAAGAAGCTGAGGTAGCGAAGGGCGCGCAGGATTGAATTGTTGAAGGGCTATGGAAGCGGGCGAAGGAGACGATGGGAAGAGTTAATGAGTTGGGCTGTAGGTCAAAATAAGGAGGAACGTTTAGTAGGCCCAAATTTGAATAAATTATTAAATGTTACTCCCTCCGTTCCAAATTATAATGCATGTTCACTATTGATGTAGTATTTTAATATGTAATTTTTATTTTTAACTCTATACTACTTGTCATATAAAATAATTTAAAGATAATTTCAGTTAAATATCGTAAATCGAAACAGACACTAGAAATTGGGACGGAGGAGTAATAGAAATTGGAAGGAGTTGGTATAATGGTATGTGCCTGCAGTTAAAGGGTTTTTATCAGCTCCTACGGTTTCTAGGGTGCGTTGGAGCTTACGCTTGAGGATTATAGCACCTGCGGTTAGGAGTGGGCAAGTACCACACCGATACCAAAATTTCTCGAAAAAACTGATGCACCGTACCGAATCGAATAGTCGGCCTGAGATTTGGGATCGGTACGAGGTAACTACCTATACCAAAAAATTTACTCGAGAAATTTATCTTTCAAATGATGTAATTTTTTAATTGTTTATCTTTCTTCATTTGAATGTACTTTCGATTTTTTTAAAATAAAAAGTTCTGTAGATTTTCAAAGTGTAAACTACACCAACACTTCTCTCTGAGTACCTTAACGATCGTGTCTGCCGTTAAAAGGCAGACGTATGACGGATCTCCCGGCGGCCAAAGGAGCACGTGCAGTATCCGACCACCATCTAAGAGCACTGGGTATACTTCTAATGCCGACCGGCGTTACGGAACTTTTCACGCCCGACCGGCGTTAAACACCGCCCCCCTGCGGCGTTACCCAGCACGCGTCAAAGTAATGACGCTGATTCCCCTCCCTCTAACGGCTAATTTAGCCGTTGAAACCCAAAAAAAATTATTTTTTTTATAAATCTCAAACTCTCCCCTCTCATTCTCACACCTTCAATCTTCAATCTTCTTCACATTCTTCAATTCTCCAATTCTCTTTTGAACATGAATCCTTCCGACTTCTTTCCCAATGATCTCGAGCCTCACGAGTCCGCGATGTGGTATTTCCAACAATACGAGAATCATCCGCCGATGTTCGAGACGTAACAATCGGGCTACGTCGAGTGAGATTTGGTTCCGGAGACTCAACCGAGACCATCCGGCTCCAAAAAAAGTACACGCCGGAAAAGCCACAAAGCAAAAGGCACGATGACCGAGGCGGCATGGTCAATCCAAAAGTGGACGCCGGAGGAAGAGTGCTTATTGGCGTCGGCTTAGGTTGACGTCTCCGAGCATCCTATCGTTGGTAAAAATTATATGTTTTCTAATATATTTATGTTTTTATTTATATAAAATTATATTTAATCGTGTCATAAAAAAATTTTCGTGTTATACTTTTTTAAAGGTTCAGAGCAAACAAAGGATGCGATGTGGGATCGTGTCGAGGAGAAGTTTTTCACGGCGATGAACAAGGACGGCTCCTATCGTACCCGGGACCAACTCACTTCCAAATGGAGCCACATTAATCGTAAAGTTCGAAAGTTTATCTGTAACGCCCCGAAAATAGGCCTATCAGAATTAATTAATTGATAATTAATTAATTACTGAGAAGAATCCAAAAATAAGTGAATTCTAAGGTTTGTCAATAATTAATAAAAATTATATCGTTGTGTAGAGTTTGACTGTCTGACCCCAACAGTTCAATCGGATTTCAATTTGGAGAAAGTTGGACCAAAAAGTATACCCCGACTGGGACTAAATATTAGTCCCAATCAGGGACTACGTACCAAACGGCGCCCTGTTCAATTACGCCGATTCCAAAATCCTAATCACCATGCAATCAAGGAAGCTGCAAACTCCCTGTCTTCTTCCTCCTTCACTTGGCTATTTAAGGAGAGCCAATTCCTCCATTTCTTCACCAAAACAACTCATTCTTCCTTATATATTGTTCCTTGCTGAGAGTAGAGTGCAGTGGTGCTGTCATCTTTGTGTGAGGTCGCTAGAGCAGTGAGATAGAGTCGCCGGAAGTTTCGCCGGAAAATCGTCAAAACCTCCCTTACGCTTCAAGGTAAGCCCGTAGATAAATCTAAAGATTAGAATGTTCATATAGGTCGTTTCTACGTTCATAAATGGTTGTTTGGTTGAGTTTTGTGTTTGACATGTTTGATAAACCAATAATCATAAACCTTGAATTTGATGTTAAAAATATGTTTTAATAATTCAATTGTGGATCCTGACTTTATATGCAAGTGGTTAATTTTACCCGACACTCTATCCGTTGTTATCGGCCCGCCGGAACCTTAACATGGTATCAGAGCCTCGTTGACTAAGAGGTCACGGGTTCGAAACTTAGCGCCACCCAGTTTAAAAAAATTAAGCTTGAGCTTTTAAAAAAACTAAGAGGTCACGGGTCACGGGTGAAGCCTGCACGTGAGGGGGCGTGTTAGAATATAAATAACTATTCTTGGGCCACAACCACAAGCTTGAGCTTTTGGTTAAATTGGTTCCTTAACATGGTATCAGAGCAGGTCCGGTCCGGGTTTGATTGTTCCTGGTTGTTTGGATGTGGGTTTAGCAAAAATGAGCTACCCGTATGTGGTTTGGGCTGAGTTGGCTAAAAAGAGATTGAGATGCCACCGCCAGTTGTGTGGGCTAGCTATAAGAGATTGAGATGCTAGACTCGTTTGTCCAAGTGCTAACTAGACCAGGCTAGTTACCACTTGCGGGAGAGTGTTGGAGTTCCCACATCGGAAAATAAAGATGAATATCACTTGCATATATTGAAGGGTGAAGCCCTACCTATCAGCTTAAGCTTTTGGGTTAGAATTGTGGATCCTGACTTTATATGCAAGTGGTTAATTTTACCCGACACTCTATCCGTTGTTATCGGCCCGCCGGAACTTTAACAGATCTGAAACTCTCTGTCTAGATTGATCATCTCATCTGGATCAATCCTCTGGGAGTTTTTCTTCTAGTTCGATCGATCCAGAGGGCTGGATCGATCCTCCGAAATTTCTGGTTCAAAAATTTGTCTGAAAATGCTATTTTTGGGCTCTAAAATCCTATTTTTGATACCAATTGATTATGGTTGTTATAAAAATGACTTTTTTACAATGTAAATGATGTTTTTAATAAATTAAAATGTTATGTGATGCATGACGGTAAGTTCTGGTGTTAACACTCGAGACTAGGCCGCTATTTGCTATCGAATATTGTGTTGATTGATCATTTTGATGAATAAATATTATGAATGATTATGAATGATGAACCTACTTATTATAATGATTATTGATGACTTAATCATAATTAAAAATGAATATATTGATAATCATAACGAGAATGTATTGTTAAAGGGTATCTAGAATAACTCTAAGATATACCCATAATAAAGTTTATTTTGAAAGGTATCTAGAAGAACTCTAAGATATATCTATATAAGTTAGGCCTTGCGGGTATGACGCCCGGTGGCTAGGGTTAAAACGTACGTACGGGATCCAAAAACCAAACTTGAGTACCTACTCGTTTGGGGGTACCACCCAACCCAACAGTGAACACTACGCTGTCGGTTTTTGGTTGACCTTAAGCGAAGGTAAGTTTATGATTGAAAACTCTTTTTAAAATATATCTTAAACTAGGCCTAGCTTAAGGATTAGAATATCTTGAACTAGAATCAGTTTAAAAATAAAATTGGTCTTAGACTAAGTATAATTTAAGGATATTGTTAAATATTGAATATGAATGTTGAATATTGAGATATTGAAATAAAAATATTGAAAATATCATGAATGAATTATACATTGTGTGCATGATATCAAATGGTTATTTGTGAATTGAGATTCGATTTATGTGGATGTTCGACGCTTTAGATATGCTTACTCAGCTTCATCGCTTCATCGCTGAGTGTGTAGTATGTTTTATTTGCTACACGCAGGTAGGAAGAATGAATGATTGGCATGTTCCTGGCAGCGGAAGGGGCGAGACTGTCGTGGTGGAATTTGTGATTTCAAATAAATAATTGTGTTGTTATTAAACATGATTTAAATTGCTTCCGCATTATTGTTAAACACTCCGTATTTTGCTACAGTTATGTATTAAATAATATTTATGATGAATAAAAGTATTTGAAATGTTTTAAATTTTACGATTACCAAGTTAATACTTTAGTCTGAAAGGGGCTGCAGACCTAGACGGATTAGGGTGTTACATTATCGGAGTTTACGGGGAATGTGCCCGGTCCCGGAGGAGCGGGACGAACGACGCCGATGTTCTCCGGCTTGCCACGACCTGGTATCAAGATGACGAGCACCAAGGTAAGGTGCCCATCGATCCTTGGAGGATTTTGATCCGTTCCCCGAAGTGGCAACAACTCAACAATCCCGATGGCGGATGTTCAAAGAAAAGATCCTACGTCGACACCGAGGTTGAGGTCGACGACACTATCGGTTCGTCCGAACAAATGCTTCCCTTCAACGTTGCGGATTCCGATGACGAGGACCCCATTCCATGACCGATCGGAAGAAAGAAGGCAAAATCCATTGCCTCGGGTTCTGGAGGGTCCGGCTCTGTTTCTGTTTGTTCTCGCGACGATATCGGTCGGGCAATGGTTGAACAACTTCGGGTGTTCAATCTTCGAGAAGAAGAGAGGATGAAGCGAAAGGAGCAGGAGATGAAGCGAAAGGAGCATGAGGATGAGATCAGAATAATGGAAACTGACCTTTCTACGTTATCAAGTTTCAAACGGATAATCTACGAGCAAAGACAAAGAGAGATCAAGGTGAAATATAATTTACTTTAGTTTTTTATTAATGTATCTTTTTTATTATTGTCGTTTTTTAGTTTAATGAATGTAATTTTTAAATTTTAAATTGTTGTCGTTTTAATTTCTTTAAATTTAATGAATGTATTTTTTTTATTATTCATGTTTCAATATAATTAAATAATAAATTAATTATATCTTATTAATTTAGTTTTAGAAAATGTATATTTAAAAATGTAAAAAATGAAGGTTTAAAGCTCCAGTTTGAAGCCCCGAGGCTTCAAATCCATTTCCAGTGAATTTGTGAGGTAAGTTAAAACTGACGTGGTAGATAGAGAAATTTGAAGCCCCGATTTAAAGCCTCGGGGCTTCAAGAGTAGGGATGTAAACAAATCAAATATTTTAAATTCGATTCGCGATTCGTATTTGAATATAATGATTCGAATTCGCGTTATTCAAATACAAATTTAAATTCAAATATTATTTTTGATTCGAATATTAAACAAATACAAATACAAATAGGAATATATTCGATTCGGATGATATTCGAATATTCGAATATATGTATATATACACAGACCATGTTTTCAACATCAAAAGTCAAGCAAAGTAATATATGGAGTAGTATAAAGTGTATTTAAAGTACTAAGAATTCAATAAATTAACGTAACACGAAAATCTAAAGCATATGATTTTTAATATTATATTTTATAAAATATAATTTGTGTAAGATGCAAATGTATTAATATTTTTAGATACGGAATATAGTATAGTATAAGGAATATCGTAAGTTAAATTACAAATCGATGTTGGTCTATCATATAAATTACATAGTTTGATAATTCAAATATTCGTTTAAGATTCGATAACTATTCGAATATTAATCAAATACATATTCAAATCTTATTTTGAATTTGTCTCATATTCGGATTCGGATTCGAAAATATTAAACAAATACAAATTCAAATATATCGGTATTCGCTTCAATTCGGTTCGTTTACACCCCTATTCAAGAGTATTTCCTCTAAGGCGCAATGTTTTTAGGAGTGATGCGGCGCAAATGTGTAATGTTTAAGAACTAAGAAAGAATTGCACTACCTTAAGGCCTAATTTTTTTTAATTATTTGTTTGGGCTTGGGGTCTATTGGGTCCATGATTTTTTTTAGAAAAATGCTAGGGGTACATCAAAGATTTTGGTGTACCCCATTTGTCTCTCACCCCCTCCTCCACCACATAAATGGGCAAAAACTTTTAAAAAAATTAAATAAATAAAAATTAAATAAAAATGTGTAGTGGAGAAGGAAGTGGGTAGGAGTGTAAACGAACCGAATCGGAGCGAATAACAAGATATTTGAATTTGTATTTGTTTAATTTTTTCAAATACGAATCCGAATCCGAATATGAGACGAATTCAAAATAAGATTTGAATAATTTGATTAATATTCGAATAGTTTACGAATTCTAAACGAATATTTGAATAATCATACTCTTTAATTTATATGATGGACCAACATCGATTTGTAATTTAACTTACGATACTTTTTATACTATACTATACTTTGTATCTAAAAACATTAATACATTTGCCTCTTACACATATTATATTTTATAAAATATAACTATGAAAAATCATAAGCTTTAGATTTTTGTGCGACATTAATATGTCGAATTCTTAGTAATTTAGATACACTTTATACTATATTAGTTTGCTTGATTATTGATGTTGAAAACATGGTCTGTGTGCATACACATATATTCGAATATTCGAATATCATTCGAATCGAATATATTCCGATTTGTATTTGTATTTGTTTAATATTCGAATCAAAAATAATATTTGAATTTGAATTTGTATTTGAATAATGCGAATTCGAATCATCATATTCGAATACAAATCACGAATCGAATTTAAAATATTTGATTTGTTTACATCCCTAGAAGTGGGGGACAAATAAGGTACACTTTTGGTGTACCCCTAGCATTGCTCTTTTTTTTTTTACCATATTTTTTCCATGAAATAGAGCATTACGTATTTTACATAATGAAATAGAGTATGATTTTGTGGGTGACAATTTTTGCTATTATAAAATAGATTGGATATGAAAATGGGTTTTTTTAACCTAAAGGGTAATAGGAAAAATAATAATAATATAATATGTCGCACCCGCACTCGAAATTTTTTCAATTATGACACTTTCACATTCGCACTCGCCCCCGCTCTCGAATTCGCATCATGTGATCTAGAGCGGGACTTCATCGTGGTTAGCCATTGATGACTAAGGATTGTGTCTTACCCATTTCTTGGTTCTTTGTTTGTTCTCATCCGAGACTAGTTATCTGTTTTGCAGGCTATATGATGCTCTATTGTTCATTCCATTCATCGTTTTAGGACTTGCACTTTATATTTGTCACTTTTCATCTCGCAACTAGTCTTTTACTCTAGAAAATCAGTGGTTTTTAGGACTTGCACTTTATATTTGTCACTTTTCATCTCGCAACTAGTCTTTTACTCTAGAAAATCAGTGGTTTGTGCATTTGCCCGTGTGTGAATCATCAGACTCGGTAATCTAATCTCTAGTCTTTCGTGAGAGATCTTTGGCATGCAACATTTGGATTTTGACATTGGTGGGTTGCACATAGACTAGGGAAGCTTTTCATTCAACTTATTTTTTCTGCTTATTACTTATTATAATCAGATTAGATCGGACCAGATCGGAAACATCTTTAATTATAGCTACAATCAGATCAAATCAGACCAGATCTTCAAAAAAACAGATCAAGCAAACGAAACAAACCTTAGACTTTCAACAATTACACTTTATGGTCATACATACGAAGGTTGGCACGCAACATGGTCAAAACATTTGTATTTGGGAATCTCTCTCCACTTCTTCATGTTCCAAGTTTTTGGAGTTTTGATGCAAAAGTTTTGGACTAATGGCTTTAGGCCTTTTGTGTTTTGTGCTTGTTTGGCACATTGCATCTCATGATTTGGGCTCATAGTTTGATCTCCTATTATATCGGTCACACCTGGTACATTGCAATTGACACTACACTCATCGCAATAATATTACTGTTTCCTAGGTTTAATTATGTTCTTTCCTCTTCTTCTTCTTCTTCGCTGATGATGATGATGATCAATACAAATCTCATGAAAGGCACTTCACCATGTAAGGACCTTCTAGCTCATAACCCAACTTCCTATAGTAATGGCGAGTCCCGACGCCAGAAATGACAGCAATCTTTTTAGACCGGTGCTCCCTCCTAGCAATCTGTTCGGCCTCCTCCATGAGCAAGGTCCCATACCCCTGGTGCTGCAACTTGTCCGCATCACGCCCGTGCACTGGGACTGCAGTCCCATATACATGAAGCTCCCTTACTATTGAACACCTCCCTGTCAGCTCTGGGCATGTCACATTCTGTCCACATTTCCTCAGGCGAAGTAAACCCACAAGTATGTCCTGCATCCATCCACAATATGAGATTGACATTATTATTATTTTGCCCTCATCTTCCATCCTGACTGGGTTTTGTGACACTTGAATTTGTTTCATGTTCATCTGATACTTGCAAGAATGAAGTGATGATGAACATTTTTTACTTCTCTTTTATCTATATACTGTGGAGTAGGAAAGTGCAGTGAAAAATGCAGAACAAGGCAAGGGATTATATTTACTGACTAAAAGCGTACCTGACGTGTATCTTCATACGAAAGAAAAGTTTCCCAGCCCTCGTTTGCTGTATAGTCACGACGAACAAGTTCCACTTCCTCTGGTTTTATTTTGTTGTGAATGTCCTAATTTCAGAACCCAAAGAAAAATCATATCACAAAAATAAGGTAAATAATCTAATAAAACTAAATCAAAGAGCACTTTCAGCAATCAATCACAGATAATGCAGCATCTGGGGTATGTTTGGATCATGGCAAATGCTAGGGAAAGGAAAGAAATTGTTATGAAAAGTTATTTTCTTATGTTTGGTTTAGCTCAAAAATGAATTATGGATACACCAACACAATTCAATCCCACGAAAGTAGGGCCTAGGGAGGGTGTGTGTAAGCAGACCTTACCCCTACTACAAAGTAGAGAGGATGTTTCCAAGAGACCCCCCCCCCCCCAAAAAAAAGCTCAAGCAATACATAGCACGACAAAAAAATTAAAGAGCAAATTAAGTGCAATAACAACGCAATGAAGGCACAAAAACAGCTGCAAGTGACAAAATGAAATGTGATTGATGTTATTAGAAAATCGTACATATGATAAGATTTTTTGTTCTTTAGATAATTGAATAAATAAAAGTGAGTTTGAGCAAATCTCAAAAATAAATTTATTGAGTTTGAACTAATATTTTATTTCTCTCCACATCTTTCATTCCAAAAAATTTGCCATTTATACGGCCTATTAACTATCCCAATCATTTCCCAAGTTCAAGATGGATCCCGAAGTCTTCGTATTTTTAACCCAATAAAAATGAAAACTTAGTCACCTGGATTCCAGCTTCACGTGTTCTAACATCTCGGCATTTCAAGCCAAGATCATCCATCCGAGCTAAGGCCAATTCACGAAGATTCCCCTTCTCAACTCCTGAGGTCACTAAAGGCATAGGAATGTCCCGTTGAACTCTATAAACACGCGTCCATGGGGGTACCATTGCAAGGATACGGGCAACAATGTCAACCAGCTGTTCTGGGGGATAGTTTCTATACCTGTACATCACATCATCACGCCCAAGTAAATACCTTCTTCAGTATGAAAACAGCAGCCACAGTAGTAGTGATGATGATGATGATCTACTGCAAGACTTTCATATATGGCCCAAAAAATTGGCATCAATGAGATCATACAAACCCACAAAATTTACCTTCCAGTTTTCCAGAGTTCATAGAGCCCAGTGCCACGAATAACTAGTGTGGGATAAATCTTCAGCCCATCAGCTCTGAACATAGGACTTTCAAAAAATTCCTTAAAACTCTCCATGTCTCTCTCAACCCCAACATTAGGAAGATCAGGCATCATGTGAGCAACTACCTGTAAAGGGAAACCCCAAGAGTAATTAGAGCTTACAGAAAAAATTACTTCGCTGGCTTAAGAATGAATTTTGACCAGATGTAGTAAATATGTAAACAAGATAGAGCTGGATAGAGTGCCTTGAAACCAGCATCTTTTGCCAGGCAGAAGCAATCCGCCACAGCTGCCACTGTGTGACCTCTGTTTGTGTCACGAGCAACATCCTCATATGTGCTTTGAACTCCAATTTCCAAACGTGTGCAGCCATAATAAAGCATCTGCCTCAAATGTGGTCCAAGGCAGTAATCTGGCCTCCTGCAATTCAAATTAAGCATAATGAAGAAAAAGTTCCAGGGCATATAATCAAACCTGTCCATTTCCTACTTCAACTTATCACTCCCTTTGTCACGAGAAACAAAATAACAAAAAAGAATTATGTTTCCAGAACATTTTAGTCCCAAAATAGAGCCCGATTTTAAAAGTCAACTTAAATTTGTATGTAAAATTCCAGTAAAACCCTTTTAATAAAAAGCTTGAGTATTCTTATCTGTAATTTTGGGTAGCATTGTCTAGTGTGAAAACTTCCCTCGTTGTCAATTTTAGATTGAAGTGCGTACGAAGTACAATTTATTAACTGTAGATGTAAGGGGTATAAGTAACTATTCATAACTTGTAACTACTTCTACATTGCTTGAGCTTTAAAATATACAGTTGTACCTAATTGACAAATGACCCATTTTTGTGATGGAAGGATTATTATCTCAATAGTCAATACATACTCATATGATTTCATATACATATGTATTGAATGAGATAGAATTATTTCTGCCAGTAGTATTCTGAACATACTTGTTTCACATCCACCAATATGAGTTCGATTAGCATGCAGTTGGTAATTATTTACAAAAATGGCAATGAACACTTATATTAGTTACCCACGTTTCAATAGTCATTCCGATACATTTTACAGAACCATGCTCTGAGTAAGCAACAGCTTCTTCAACATTAGCAGAAGTGTGCCCTGACAAAGCATCATGAAGATTCCTGATAAAATAGTCTCTGTAATCTGCTGGCAGCGACATAAAAGTACCTCCCATTAAGATGAATTCTACCTGTGGAATAAGCATTCGAAAAATGAGAAAATGATCAAGGGTAACATAGCTACGCATGCATAGAATTCATTATATGACAAACCTTATCGACACTGTGACCCAATCTCTTGAGTTGATCAATTCTGCCTCTAGCCTGGACATAGGGATTATACCTGTACTTATCATTAGGATACCAATGAACTCAACATAACCTGATAAGTGATAACCATAATAAAGCATCTGCTTCATAGATTTCATTTAAAACAAAAATCTTTTTAATAAATGATTGCTCCCATTGGTAGATGTCAATTTGTTTCAAGCAGCAGAAAGTGCATAAAGAGAAAAAAAGGAAAAAAAAATGGGGTGATGCAAAACTGAAAAAAAATCATACTTAGATGCATACTTGTAGCTTGTTTAAGTCATACACTTGTCACATGATATCTAATAAAACTCACACTAAATTTTATTTCAATTCCTCGAAAACCCTAATTTCGAATAGCATGATCAATGCTTATGGTTAGGGAGTTTGATAAGGATACTGAATTATCTAAATGAGTGCAAGAACTATTTTTGAGTCTTTAAAAACAATTGTACATTAAAGGAGTTGAGCCTCCACTGAGCATAAAGCCAATCTAACTTACTCAAATATCTATGACTCAATCCCATAAGCTAAAAGAAATATCTTGATTTGCAGAAGCAAGACTACCATTCTTTTTATAGCATTACAAAGTCAGTCACACAATCAAAAGAGAATGGTAAAGGAAAAATTAAACACCAAATATATGGAACTAAACAGAACTTTGAAAAACATGTTGGCAAAAGGAAAACACACACAGATTTGTTATATAAGCAACAAAGCAAACTCATGAGAAAGCTGTTTTTAAAGTCATCCAACTTTTAAGTGATTTAATTTCAACTTCACTACAAATGAACACTCTAATATCACTAGGGACTGGGGTTTAGGGTTTAAACAAAAAAATGAATGAATCCCTAGCTTACCTTGCTCGAATAGCTCTCATACTGGTGGGCTCGTAGCCTGTATACGATTGAGTACTGTATTCAAAATCAGAATCCGGGCCGCCCGGGCAGTAAACACAAATGTTCCCAGTGGTGGCTATGTGAGGGCACCGGTGGGGCTTCGACATGACGGCCACCACAGCAATACCAGATGCGGTACGGACAGGCTTGGCGCGGAGTTTTGGGAGCAATGTTTCCCGCTCCGAATCCGGCAACGCCGCAATCATCTCTACTAGCTTGGGAGCCCGCGAGAGTCCGTACTTCCGGCAAGCGGCTGACTTGAGAGCGTTCAGGTCCACATCCTTGCCCTTGCGGGATAGCTCCACCATGTTGTTCACGATCTCGGCTATTGCGCGGACTCGAGCCTCCTCCTCCGACAGCCCGTGGGACACCACGCCGCCGCGCCCAGGACGAGGGACCTTCCTCGCGTCACTTACCACCGCCGCCGTCTCCATGAAAGGTTCCGTCCGATGCGGTTGCGTGAATCGTGACCTTAAACCCGAGTATGGGACACAATTGGATTGTTCTAAAAACAACACCTCGAGATTAATTAGTCCAAAGATACTTTCTCCTCCCTAAAGAAAATGTCACATTATGGAAAATGAAAGGTAATTTAATTTTTTTAATTCATATTGTTTAGTGAAAAAATATCAAAATATAAGTAAAACATGAAAAAAACAATAGTAAAAAAGAAGTTACACATTTTTAACTCTAAAATAGGAATTACAATACTAATATTCTCAACATATATTATCCAAAAATATTGTGAAATGACAATATATAGTATCACATGCATTATCACAGTGTAAATTCTTATATTTGAGAAAAAATTTAGAATCCTATTTTGAAAAAAGAGTTATGTTTTAATCTTATTTGGAATGATTTCTTTGTTATTTAAAGAATGATATAGAAATAAAACATAAAAGTTACATATTTCAAAATATGTCAAAAGTTCTTTAAAACAAAAGATAATAAAAATATATAAATAAAAAAAAGTCCACGTGATTTTTAATAGTGATGTGAGATATTTCTTTTGAGATGGATAAAGTAAGTAAATACTTGTAACTCGTTTTAGTTAGACTAAGCTCATGTTCTCTTCATCTTATCTGATTGGATTTAATTTGGTTTTATTAAGGTCTGACCAAGATCAACAATATTCATTCAAATATTCTATTTACTAGAAGCATCCTCAGACGGCAGATCACGGAGAATTGTTGAAATATTAGAATAATAATATTGCTCATTGAATTATGGAGTACATGATAGAGCACTACAAGAATTTCTTCATTTTGCGACGGAATTTTGCGACGTATATATACATTTTGTTGTAAACTGCGATAGATACGGTCAATGCAATTTTCTGCGACGTCTGTTGCTAGGGACTTGAAAGTCCTTGTCTTGTAATTTTAATGCTGCAAAGCTTACCGCCAACATTATGTGACGTCTTCTACGACGACGCAACGACAAGAATCTACCTTGCTGGCCTGCAACGGAACTTGTGACAGTTGTGATTAATGCAATTTTCTACGACATCCGTTGCGAGGGACTTGAAAATCCTTGTAATTTTAGTGGTGCGAAGCTTACCGCCAATATTATGTGACGTCTTCTGCGACGACGCAACAACGAGAATCCACCTTGCTGGTTTGCGACAAATATATTCCGTCACAAAGGTGTTTTTTTAAAATTTCCATTTTTTCAAAACTACATCGTTTTGGTCTAGGCACATAATATTTGTTAGGCTCTGCGACGGAACTTGAGATGGAAAATTTCTGTCACAGAGCGATTAGTTTTTAAAAATATTTATCTTTTTTCTCCAAATCTGCACATCGGGTGGAGATAGAAGCAAAGGGGCGCAACGAAGAACCAAGGAAAAACATTGTTCTAGACCCAATTTATTTTAGAAAAATTCATTTTTTAAGGTTATGGTGTTTTTTGGATAAGGTTGAGGTGTTTGG